ACTCGTTAAAACGTGTCCGTGCGTTCCGTTTCGGTTGTTGAAGAGAGGGGAAAAGTGGAGTACCCGGAGAAAAACCTCTCGGAGCAAAGGAGAGAACCAACAACAAACTCAACTCACATATGGCGTGGACGTCGGGATTTGAACACGAGCCACATTGGTGGGAGGCGAGAGCTCTCACGACTGCGCCACCCTTGCTCCCCCAGTACACACTCGATTTAAAGCGTCATATTTTAGCTGCCTAGTACGGTAGGAACCCGGAAATAAAAGGAGACCGTGGTGCAACAGATGACATTCTTCACTCCCGATTATGGTTAAAGTTACAATATTAAAGTTTGTGTACCCCGCAGTTCCCTTTTTGGGCCCCTCCATTTAATATTTTCAAGAGCCATAATAGGACAGAGGGGGAGTCTCCCAGTCACGCCTTTGGGATATCTTAATTTCAAAAAAGTTATTTTTAGAACTATGCGGACCATGCGGAAACAGTTTCCGGTAAGCTGGTTGACATCTTCCCTCCACTTGTGCCGCCATTTTTTTTTATTTGTTGACGCCGCCTCGCTTTGGCGCGCTGAAATCCTGAAAGCGAGTCTTCCGGAAGTTAACCGCCGCCCGGTTAGCTCAGTTGGGAGAGCGCCGGTCTGCTGAGCGGGAGGCCGTAGGTTCAAACCCCGGCCGGACCAACACTCAGGGTCTTTAAATAACTGAGGAGAAAGTGCTGCCTTTGTAATAACATCTGCAAGTGGTTAGACTTTCTAGTCTTCTCGGATAAGGACGATAAACCGTAGGCCCCGTCTCACAAGCCCTTGCACATGTAATAAATCTGTGGGACGTTAAATAACCCACACACTCTTCGTAAAGAGTATGGCACGTAGTGCCCGGTGTAGTAGTCTATCTCACTTTCACACTCAGGAAGGGGGCATCTTCACTCATTCCTCCAGTACTTGTAAACTGCAGCTTAAGCAGTCTGGCAAAGTCCCCCAACCAGTGTCGTAAATTATCCCTGAAAAGCCCTGAGGGGAGTGGATAATAAGATATTTACAATTTACAATTTAACCAGTTTACCGGAAACTGCTTCCGCGTGGTCCGCATAGTTCTAAAAATAACTTTTTTGAAATTAAGATATCCCGGTTAACGCCCTTAGACTCCCTCTCTGTCCTATTATGGCTCTTGACATTTTTATTAGCGATTTGAATTTGTTCATTCCTTCCATGTCGTTAAGATTCTGTGCAGATGATACAACAGGATCATAGTCACGTTGCAGCTTGTCGTTGTAAATATATTTTAATTCTCTATATTTTTAATATAAATATGCTATGTTGACTGGTATGTATTTTCAACAAACGTATTTGCTCAACAGACGATACGTGGTAAATACACGATTGTAATATTTTGTATTGTATTGTACCTGAGTTTAGTTATAGCGGACGATTTTTCTGAGTCCCTTGATTCTGTAGTAGAATAATTTTGCTGTACGCTAAAAGAAATTTCGCACGGTCATTTCCTCGCCTTCGTCTTTCTACGGCACTGCTCGCGAACTTAAGCCCCCTTAGCTAGCCTATTTATGTGCTGTTTCATGATTGTTATGGTATGTTCTGGATAAACTATCTCACGAAATCTTTGTTGTAATGCGTTGTTAAAGAGTACGATGACAATGCATTTTAATGATAAAGTAATTAGGCTTGAACGGAAAAAAAATCTTCCATTCAATGAATCTGTCATGAATCCACGATGACGCCTTAGCGTTACACCAAAGCGTTTTGCCAGCAACCCCATAGAAACATCTTCAAGCAGTTTAGGCGACTACAAGGTAATGAGATAAAACATATGCTGGACTTAAGCAAAATCTTGGCTACAGCTCGGTATGACAACGCCCACTTCCCCTCCCTTCTTGGATATTCTCGCTTTGAAGAACAGTTTCCCAGATAAAGGTTACTTTTCGGCGTTGTGAACTTCTTAACTGAGCTATCAGAGTGAAGGGTTTGGTAAAGAGATCATCATGAGCCTTCAAGAGTAAAACAAAATCAAAGCCCATATGAACCTTCAACGTAAGATCGTAGTAGGAGTCTATCTGGCTTCCTTGTACAAGATCGCCTTGTCAGTTTTGCTGCGTCATTGACTAAATACTTATTCGCTGATGGGTGTCGTGCTTGACCAAACAGAAAAATTGGTTTCCAGGATTTATTCATGCTATGATCGATGCCCCAAGTTTGGCGTATCACTTTTCTGTTTTGAAAATTCAGAGGACTGGATGGTACTAGGATCAAAAATGGAAACCTTTCAACCTTACCCTTGTTTTGAGAAATGTCCGATGTTTAAATAAATTAAAATTAAATGTTGTTTAGAACTGTTGTCATCGTTAGTGTTGTTGAAGATTTTTTATCAATGCGTGATATCGCTTGAATGAAGCATCTCCTTCTTTGTGAGAATTTCCTTCTCACAAGGACAGAGCATTGTATCTCTGCTTTCTTTTTGAAGCCTTAAGCGACTCTTTGAGGGAAGACTTGATGTATAGTAGCTGAATGCGTGAAGAGCGTCATGATATAAGAGCAATTCAATCAACATAAAGCCAAAAGCCGCGATCACAAGAAACTTGCCGATGGTCTTAATGATTTTCCCAAAAGGGCCAACAATAAAACAAGAGTCCTCAGTCAGGATGTCTACCTTATGTCAATCATGATCTCTTCTTGTTTGCTACACTGACAGTTGGTAATTAAAAATAAACGTAACAAGTTTTACTTAAGTAACCTAATATCGATAACCGCTCCTTTTTTAAAATTCTTGTTTTGCCACATGTACATGAGTTGCATAGAACCAACTGCCATTGCTTTAAAATAGAAATCCGTTTCAAGCTTATCTTGTCTGTCAAGAACTAGCAAGGAGTACATGTAGTCCTCATTTTCCTTCAGGGATAGTGGAGTGAGTGAAATACGTGAGAGCGGTGCTAAGAAACCGCTACCCACGAGAAAGGTGAAGCCTTTTTCAAACATCGTGCTACTGCCGTAGCAAAGTCGAATTTAATTCGATCAGTTGACTTCAGGGCGGCAGTAGCACGAAGTTTGAAACAGGCCTGACACGCGGAGGGAAGAGAGAAATTTTTTCCTCTTCTCATTTCTTCGCGTTTCGCTTCTCCTTCCTGGCAGTGATTCTCAAGCGCGCGAGAGTAATTCGCTTGAGGGGGAAGGGAAGCCTCGGAGACCCCGCAATGGAACAAGGGTGCTTCACGTGCTTGCAGTCTCCTTTAAGTGTCTAAATCAGTTAGGGTATTTTCCTTGTGGTATTATCTTTACTGTATACATACTCAGAAATAAAATATTTTGACAGCCTTTTATTTTAAATCTTACCAAAATGCTTAAATATAAAACAGCAGCTACTCACCTTGAAATGGCAAAGAAAACTACATGATATTTCAAAAACTGTTAAGAATTTTTTTAAAAAATAATGTAATGTAGGAATTTTATTACACGTAGTCTTATAACTTGGTCTTCTGAATCTACAGGCAAAGATCAAATGCCGAATCAGTGACAATTTTAGTGAAAAGATCGGTTTGAATAAAAAAGGACAAAAAAGTGGTACTCTATCTTACGTTTCGTTCTGTTTTTCCCTTTCCACTGTTGTTTTGCACGCTATCTACAATTTTCCTCTTTTAACTATACACAACTGCCATGTACTGTCCAATTTCCAAATAGTTGTTAACTTTTTTCTACGGGAAAAACTCTCCTCTGTAAGCTTTAAGTCTCTATAGCTACAAATACTGTCGTTGAATGACTGAGATTCTGATTGGAGAACCATACTTCTCAGGTGTGAAAAGCATCGAAAACTCATTTGCGTATGAAAGTTTTATACGACATAGTATTTTGTTCTGTCAACTCTGAGTTGACCCAAGGCAGTTAAGAGACGTTTTGATTGTTCATGAACGGTCACCTCATTGCAAAAGAAATAGTAGGATAAATGACACTTTCCAAAATTGTTATATAGTCGGGCTACTTCAGCAAGTCGCTGGGATCCAGGGAGAAAAGTGTACGTAAGTACGAGGACTCTCAAACTTTAATTTACTTTACCCTTATTAGCATCTAGTAAATATTCAACGCTGAGACAGTTAATTTCGGCTGTCGGCAGTTCGCCGCATCTGTCGAGGAAGGGCCCATTTCAAAACTTCTTAAACTGTTAAAAAGTTAGTTTACTTACATTACGAGAAAAGAAATATATTCATCTAGTGTAAAAACTAACAATAACAAGACAAGTTTTTACAGATTTGCTCCACAGCCGAGATACCTATTACCTGAAATATGCTAGTTTAACAAAAAACTGCCCTGATACATATAAGCATGGAAAGTTTCAAGTAAACACTTATCAAGGAATATTTACACTGAAAAGAAGCAACTAGCCGTCCTAAAACAAGCTCATGCTGGACCCTGCACTTATTTGTTTTCTTATTTCATAAATTTTCTCAAAATTCCATAAAAAAGGGATATTCAATCAAGTCATGCACCCGCATGAAAAAGGTTTAATAGAAGACGGGATATGGCTGATTAAGAAAACTTCGTGTATCTCTGGGAAATCGTTAGCTACACCACTGAAATGCCAGTCTCTGCACGAACCTGGTCGCTCTTTATAAAAAAGACCCCTCACTCTTATGTCACTTCTAAATGTTAGGGCGTCCACGGGATTATTCTACGGAATTCCGGGTCACACCTCGCTTTGCTAAAACGATAGGTCTTAGAAGTATTGTAAAGCTAAGAAATACAGAATATACATTTGATTTCTATCAACGTTTTTTAAATATATCTTAGTAAAAACACGCATGTCGATAAACTGAATCTCGAATTATTTCAGTAATGGGGTATATGTACAACCCCCGAAATGATCCCGACCCCGAAATGATCCCCAACCCTTAATTGGGAATCATTTCGGAGTCGGGATCATTTAGGTGGCTGTACATATTCTTGTCGTTGATTGGTCATAGATGTCCTTTCTTCAAAGGAGTCTTCAGTTAGTTAGAAAACTCATCTGATTAAAGAAGTGAGATAAATATTAAGAGCCAAAATGTTCCCTTCCTGGGCATTGTTTGTAGAAAACTCCTTGCCACATTTGGGACACTTTACCTGTGACAAAGTTCCGGTAAAGTCCACCACTGGCGATCTCTTGCTGCACTCGGCAATGGGGCACGTGTATTCAGCATCCTTAAGACTTGGCAACAATTCCATTAATATCCCGGCATTGATGGATCCAAATTTCTTCAAATACGTTTTTTCTTCCTCTTTCAAATCATCTTCTTTCCAAAAAACGTCGATGAATTGTAATCCAAGAACGTCTGCCTTCTGCACTCGAAAAAATCCCATGTCCCCCCATTTGTCTCCCCCGGAATTCAGCAGTCGCAAACATTCACTGTCGAAACTGGTTAACACAACTGCATGGCCAAAGTCAGGAGTTTTGGGACGACGGGCTTTTATATCGATCTCCTTCTTCGTCAAAATGCCTTTTGGGTTACTTTCATAGAAATCTTCAAAACGATCCCACTCCTTCTCAGTGAGCCTAAATGTTGCCACCACTGGCCGACTTGAAGCAACTGCTTTCATGGCTCCCTTGTAATCGACTCGCTTGCACCTCAGGCGATACTTCGGGCACATTTTCTGTAGCACATGGATGGTAGGAACACCCTTTGGATACTTTTCAACATCAAATTGTTTGACAATTTCGTCTCTTAGTGTACAGAAATCTGGACATCCACCTTCGCGTCCACGAATTCTTGTCATGGACAAATGAAGCACTGTAGCAGCTGCATTTGCAGCGCACGTCTCCCCTTCTTGTAATTTTGCTTTACAGTCCTTTACTTCTTGATTGATGTAGAAATCTATATTAACGGATGCAAGCATGTCGGATAAGGCGTCTTGACTACAAACGACATTTCGAGCCACCTGGCACCCCTCTCGCAAGTGGTCTGGATGATTGACCTGCAAGAACAAACGTGTCTCATTGTCGGTGAAATCGATGGTCCAATCACGTTTCACAAACATTGTGCGTGGTAGGGATTGTGTTGACAATTTTGAGCTCAATGAGAACATGAACTTTGCGAACTGATCCCAGTCAGGTTGCTCTTTGCTGAACAGTCGTTTGGGGTCAATGTGCGTGGAGTCAGTGATAAAGCAGCTCACTATGGTTACACCTGCTTCGGTAAATTTAGAGATCACTCGATCTATTCGTGAAGAAATGTTCTCATCTGTTGGATCCCCGTCTGACAAGATGAACAACAGCTTTTTGTGACTTGAAAACCTGGAGTCTTGAAAAAGTGTCATTGCCTCTCCAATAGCTCGCAAAAAAGGTGTCCTGCCGTAAATGTAGGGCTCGATTCTCTCCAGTAATTCCAGACTCTTTTTTTTAGTTAATTTTTCTTCACCGACACATCCATGTACAACATCTGAGGCATGTTTAACATTGAAAATGGAATTAACATCTACCTTTTTTAGCAAATGGGCTTTGGCCTTTTCCACGACCTCCTTGACGTCCTTTACTGTAGCCCTTCTATATTGGGTCACCGCCGACGAATACGCGTATTTCCCCATTTCTGGTCCGAACTTTAAAGCTAAGAATGTAGGTATTGCCGCGGCCGGGCAAAACACAGCAGCAGCAACTGTTGCTCCTAATTGGACGCCCAGTCCCGGTTCAGGCCAGTCGCGACAAGCCGGTGGTAGAATTTTTTCGACGAATTCTTCAAGAAATGACTTGTCAGATTTAAACTTTTTCAGAAACACGACAGCCAAGTTATCTGCTAATGCTTTGCTGACGACTTCATCCTCTGCCCATTTGCGAATTGTACGTGCCCCGGCTTTCTCCAGTATATCGAAAATCTCGTTTATGTGTTCAGTTGTAGCAGGCCTTTCAGCAACATTATCTTGATTCGGAATCCCGTTTAGAGTTCCTATGATATCAAATACCTCCTCACCACAACTAGCCCCAAAACCTATTGCAAATACATGGTGATCAGAAGAAATGTCGTATTTGATAAGGTTGTCAATAACTTCAAAGATCGAGCGAGCCCATGGTCCTCCTTCTTCATCAGTACCCTCTCCAATGCTACCAGCCATGGAACAGGAGACGTCAAGCAGGATTCCAGTCAATGATGCCAGGCTTTTTTCGTCTGCAATTAGAAGAGAGTAGGCCTTGTCATACACGTCGAATATGCACAGAAACATGCTTAATGACACCCGACACATAGTGAACTGATTGGACTCCAATAAACTCAGTAAACTGTCATTGCCTAGTGTTATCATGGCACTTTCTGCTTATAAAAAAGTAAATGACAAGAAGGGGTGCTCGGTATTCAAGACATTTCCTGAAATAGAATTATTTGTATTATCATTCGTGGTCAAAACTACTAGCAACCAACTGTATAAACCCCTGACTACTCGGTGTTGCTAATCTGGTGCATATAAGTAAAAAGAATCATATCTCATTATCTTGGTAATTTCTTTGAAATGAGCTACAGCCAACGCAAAATATACTGTGAAAAGTCCGAACCCAGTTGAAGGGGACTAGCTCCGGGTTGACTTCACAGAAAAGACACATGTACTCTGATGGTTCAGCAAACTTTGTATTTCTTCTAAAGCTTCAGCGTTGTTACAAGTCAACTTTATCTCACGCTAGCTTGTATTAACTCTCTCACAAAAGCCTGTCATAGCTCCCTTTATCCTGACTGGACATGACAGGTGCCAATCCTAATCATATGAGAATGAGTCTTACATCAGTAAAAACCCGATTGGCTGTAAGGAATATTATCATATTTTCCTTCGAGGTTATGGCGCAATCCGAAAATCAGCTTTGACTGTAGAATTCACTTAAGTCCAGTTAATGTCCAGTCGAAACAAAATTATTTATATATATAAATCGCTGATTCACACTATCGTTACTTCAAAAAGTACAACTAATCAACTTTTTTACATTACTAAGTTGTAGTTTAAAGTCTTTTTGTAGGAATAATTAACAATACTAATTTGTCCCGCCTTTTCAATATATTAGAGGATGTTAGCATCAACAACGAGTACGAGTACGAGAACGACTTCAAGCCGTACTCGTACTCGAAGTCGTTTTCTCAGCTTTCTATGTTAGCAAGAGAGGATAAAGGGGACAGAGAAGGCATCCTCCATACACACCCTATTCCACAAGTAATTCGTCTCGAGTTATTTTTAAGACCGTAGATCCCAAGGGGGATTAGACAACAGCCAATCACATAGCGCGAATGTGTTCCGCGTGGATGACCCACGCTCAGAGCCACGCGTCCTTCACGAATTGACGCAGAAAAAAATGGCAGAAGAAGCGGAGAGCGATATTGTTATTTGTTTTGTCGACGAAAACGACTAAAGAGAAATTTCTGCTAAAGCTGTGTCAGCGAAACGGAAATTAAAAAAGAATCGCCCTTTCTTTCTTGTATAGCAAGAGCTAACAGTACAGCTGGGAAATTCTTAACACACTGAATATTCTCTCACGATCATTTATAATTTACAGTTTGAGGAGAGCAATTTATGATTGATATTTATTTTTTTATTAGTCTTTTATGTTTCAACAAAAATAACACTTGGCGTCCTACTTGCTTTATTATACAAACGACCGGTTTCAATAGACCGGCGAAATTTCTCATTTTATTAAAGCACTGAGGCTACGACAACTTCGAGTTAAACTGATTTCACGGGTTGTCAAAGAGTCAAGCGATTCCCTTTTCCCAGGTGAGCGCCGACTCATTTCGCTTCAATATTCAGAAATGCTCTCGATCTCTTTACGCTAATTCATTGCCTTTCGCCCGACATGTTTTGCACAGCGTTTAGTCATGCGGAACCTCCACGAAACATTCACGCAGTGCGCGAGATAACTTTATATCTCGATTCTAAAAATAACTCGAGACGAATTACCTATGGAACAGGGTGTGTATGGGGGATGCCTTCTCTGTCCCCTTTATCCTCTCTTGATGTTAGCGATGACACCGAGTTCGAGTTTATAGAACTGTGTAGGAAATATCGCGTGCGGTTGCTTTTCCTCGACTTCAAAAGCAGTATTTTACATAAAACATAATATAAGGAATGTTCAAGATGATAAAGAGAGGCTAGAAACGAAAAGAAATTGCATTAAACGATCGGAATTTACCGTTGAAAACCAGCTCTTCCCAGTCGTTCTACCCACTTCGAGTTTTTGGTGAGAACTCGTCGTAGTGCAACTTGACAGGACGACTTGAAAACGTGGAAATGCGCAGAACGGATGCGCAGTACGCAAAATCGCTGATCTCGCTCTGGAACTCGTACTCGTTGTCGATGCTAACATCCTCTATTAACTTGTTTACGAGTTTTGCAATAAAACTAATTAGCATACAAGTACAATTAAATGGATTATCCAACAAAAGTGTTCACTTGACAACCAGTCTCAAACTATAGCTAACCGACTACACTTATTAGACGAAGTATAACTAAATGATTTGATCCGGAGATCTCGACGTACAAGGTTTCTGTCACTGAAACGCAAGCCAACTCAAATAAGATCTTGAAAACGTAGGGGAGTAATAAAAACAGTATGTTCCAGGCGAAACTTTGTTTTTCTGGAAAGGTTTTGTTTGGTCAAGTAAAAGTCAATTAAGGCCAACGGAACGTATCTTTTGTTTTACCAGCGCGTCCAATTAGTATGAACAAAAGACAGATTTCAACAAAAGATAAATCTTAGTATTAAAATCACTTAACGGCCGGCACGTGCGTTTTCCAAATCTCTCAACCAAAACAAACAGATATAATAAGCCTTGCACACTTTTGCGTAAATAAAATAACACTCAAAATAATTCAAAAGAGTTTGCGATATATCGCTGTAGGTGAGGCAAACGGTAAATCCAGTACATTTACTATAAAATAACAATAGGCTACACAAACAGATTGTGTGGGCTCCCTGTGGTTTCGAGTATTCCGGATACGCTTCTCAATATTTCTGTCTCATATTTGTGATATGCAAATCAGCTAACAAATGGTATCTAATGCGCATGTGCATCAGCTGACTGTGTCCCTTTCAATTTTTAATTTAACTTTATTTTATATGACTTTTGCAACTTCCGATATGTATTTTATCGATTGAATAAAGATTATCATGATTATCATTATTATTATTAAAAACCAAGAACACGTACATTAAAAAACGGCAGAAAGAATTACAAGGCATAAAAAATAAATTCCATGTGGAAGCAGTGAATTTAACATTAAGATCCATATTACATCAAATGACTAGGAGTAATCGGAGCGTAGGAGAGTGCGTTCGATATGTTTGTTAGGCGTACAGGTAGCAGTTGAGGGGGAAGAGGGCATGGTTCTTGCGATAGATAAGAATGATTATGGTATATTTTGAACGTAAGGATTACGTACCGCGAAACCTCTATTTAAAATTTGACTTATTATGAAAAGTTTTTAAAGGCTTGTGAAATGGTATGGTTCGTCCCAATTGTGAGGAGACACTGGCCAGAGAGCGTCGGGCGTGTAAATATAAAGAACGTGCAATAGATGTTCTACAGGGCGCAGTTGTTCGAAGGTCTGATTAGCGCTTATAACTCGGGTTTCTTTTTCTTTTGTTCAAAAACATTTCTTGGGATAATTTTCTCTGTTATTTTTAAGAGCATCCAATCATTAACTTGTTGAAAAAATGAATTATCTGAATGTACTTTTTAAGCTTTCACATCTGAATACAAATTTCGTACTGACCCTGGGTTATCTTCACCAGCTTCGAACAACCCGGGCCAGGCAAACAGCTGACAACGTTTTAGCTGTAATCATTAATTTTATTTATTGGGAATTCCACATGTAGACAATTACTGACATTTTTTCATGAAATGAAACCGTTACTAGCAAGTCTTCTTAATTTGTGTTGATATTAAAGACCCAACAGCTGACCCAAGACCACACTTTTTGTGGTGAATACTGGAGCACAATGAATTGTGTTTGAACACGGGTCCACTTACACTACACCTCTCGCACGCTTCATGGGAATCATCAAAGCCTTCAGTGGAATGTGTGCGGTTCACTCCAATGACTTTTTCAGTAATTTGGTCGAGCGTGTTGACTTCAGTGACTTGAGTGGCGCTACTGTAGGCTGGTTTATAAGTTTTTCCGAATAAATAACATAGAGCTAAAATGTTCGCTTGTTCGATGCCGAAAATATCACAAGTAATGATGAAATGGCGCCGCCGAGCTTTACATCTCTTTAGATTTACTTTGTGGTACAACGGCCGCCGAGCTGCTACACAACTCAGTAGATTTGCTTTGTGTGGCACAACAGTCGCCAAGCTACACAACTCGGTAGATTTACTTCCTGGCACAACGACCGCCGATCTACACAACTAGGTATATTTACTTTGTGTGGCACAACCGCCGCCGAGCTAAACAACCCTGTTTCATTGATGCATGCACCAGGAGTCGCACACGTTTTCCAAAGACAGTGACGAACCATTCTGAAAAATATGAAGGCTTAATCCAAAGTAAAATTTTACTCAGGGTGTTGAACGCGTTGGAAGATTCAATAAACACAGATCGATAGTAGACCTTCAGCAAACTTCTTGAAATATGTACGCTTTACGATAGACAAATAGCAGACCTCAGCAAAGGTAGAACAAGGCCTGACTTTGAAAGATATGAAAACGGAGGACACACGAATCACCACGTGAGTTAGCGCGTCAAAGTGAGGCAAAACAAAAGCAATCGCGCCAAAGCAAGGCAAATGTGTGTCGACACAAATGCAATCTCGAGAAAACCTCCCTTATTAATTGCACAGGACACCCAATAATGCACAGAAGACCCAACTCAACTCGTACCTCGCACGCAACTACTCTATATTTGAAAAATAGCCTATTAAAAACACTATTTTTAAAACGCTGGGTATTAACCCTAGGAAGTTGACTGCTAGGAAATCGGAGGCGCGCTGAATTTTTTTTCGTTGGTAGAGGGTGGTGAAGGGAGTCTCCCCGATTTTTTCAAGTGAGGGGTCGTATGCACACAAACTAGCCAATGTAGTACTGTAGCGGCATCAGCTCCTGTGTCTGCTTCTAGTCGCCCAACTGGTCTTCAGTTGTGACACAAGGAGTCCATGATCCAGTTGCCGAGTCTGCTTCTAAATGCTTCGGTTTTGCCATGTGGTACAAGGAATTTGACGATTTCAGCTTATTTGTGTCGGCACTTAGCAGCTCGTTCCATGACTTCACAGCATAGTGCATCGCAGTAAATCCCTATATTATACACTGTCAACGGTAGACGTTATTCTCAGTCTTTTGACTTTTTTTATCAACACCTCGCGCTACACGTCAACCAGTACGTCTACGTGCGTGCTGCGTGGAGTTAGTTACTACAAGCAACCACATGGAACATAGCTCCAGAGGAGATCTAAAACTTCCGTAGCCTGCCGTTTCATCGAAACTGCCGTTTAAGTTCTCGGCTTGCCGGAACTGTCCCAGAAGTGCCATCCAAGCACAAGAGGAAGTACTAGATCCTTGTTGCGAATCTTATGCACAGCCTTCACCTTCGTTGGCTTTCTTCACTGGATCAAAGAAAGCGGCTCATTACAAAGTCATTCACTGGCTGCTTTCTTTTGCCGTGGAGGGCAGTCAGTCATTACTCACTTCTGTGTGGACAAGCTTAGCGAGTCGCAAATCTATCTCGTTGGTGAACTTTCTTCGGCTATTACATTGATTTTGATTTTTGCGGGGAATTCACATTCAGTTGAAACCTCTGAAACTGATTCCGGTCATGGACGCGTGACTGGATAAGGTTCTCCACTAAGAAATTGTTTTCAAGAAGAGCCTGACTCTATTTATTACAATACACTTGCAATGCAAAAATATGATTCATTTACTTACTCTTTTCTGAAACAATTTTCTAAACCTTACATTTTTTCTAGTTATTAAACAAATTGCGAACCGCCGGTCTTATTGAGAGACCAATAACGGGCGATGTTGATTAGCATAGGACGTCAGGTAGTCATAATTTAAGCACTAGAATAAACGCTTAAACAAGATTTGCTTACGTTAAAAGAATATGAGCAACTTTTCAGCCTTCCCCGAAATTCAAGATGGCGGCCATAAGGAGATTATAAGGGGCAAATTTAAATTTCGATTTTCAAAGCGAAAGCTACCGTTTCATCCTTGCTATCATGCATTTTTCTGATGCTTACTAGTCAAAGATTAATATGTGACATGTTTTGGCTGTTCCCCTCGAGTGAGCCATAAACCCAAATTTTCGGCTCTCAGCTGATGGACTACTAGGGTTGAAATGTAGTCGGCGAGATGTGAATTGTTGTGATTGTCGCGAAAGTCATTTATGATTTACCGAAAATGTTGACAGACAAATCTCAGGTGTGTGCGGTTGAGCTCGTGTTACTAGAATACTCTGTGCCAAGCATAAAAAAGGCTTCGTGAGTGTTTAGTTTAGGTGATTTTGTCTTAGGAAGCCTATTCTGTGCTCAAAGATTGTGGATTCTTAATCTGTTTTCGGCCGACACTGAGATATGGGCGTCACGGTTTGACTGACTCAGAAATCAGCATGAATTTCCATATCGCCGACCACATTTCAACCCTAGAACCTACTTTGTGAGGCCAACAACAAAGCTCGCAATATCCAATCTTTCCGTCTCAAGCCCGGGATCAGTCTTTCACCCGTGTAGCCCGAAATGAGACGAAATACGAGAAGATATTGGACGCAGCAGACTTTGCCAGACGTGAGAATTGTTCTTTCACAAGGCTTAATGATGCCTTCCGGAAAACTTTGCTCAAGGCAGCCAAAAAACTCTAAGACAACCCACTATGAGAGCGGAGTTCGGTCTAATACGCGCGCTGATTTACGATGAGATACAGAGAGTATTATGGGAAGTTATGAAAAGCTCTTTTTGGGGGGCGGAGCAGGGGTGGTTAATGGCCAGTGAGAAGCTCATGACAGTCTATCTACTTCAGCGTATTCACTATTAAAATATTCGGTAGAAAAGAAATAAATAAAAAGTGACAATAATAAAAAATTAATAAACAAATAAACGTGCTCCACCACAAGACCCGGTAAAGGTATGTAGAGAGATTTCTATAGCAATGTTTTAGCAAATCCAGTCAGATCATCCATGTGTAATACGTCATAGATCGCTTAAATGTCTTTCACTGAGGCATATGCTGTACGGTAAAGTGCTACACAAGCTCTTTCGAAGAAGAAAGTACATTTTTTAGAGGCCAAATTGAAGTCACACTCAAAAACGTGACCTAAGTCATTATAGATGTAAAGCAATAATATATTGTACTGACTACGAACAGCAAAAGTCATTTTTACGGCTGAATAGTCCATTGTAAGCCAAAGGTATTTCTGAAAGAGCTAAACTGATGATGAGACGGCCGTTTTTGAGTCCTTGGTAACAATTTACTTAAGATATGGTCTAGGATCAATTAGATTTGTGTAAAACATGTTTATTATTCATTCATGTGTAATCAGAAGGAGCAAATATTTTCCTCCTAGGTTCACTGAGGCATATGCTGTATGGTAATGTGCTAGAGAAGCTCTTTCGAATAAGAAAGTAAACCTTTTTGAGGCCAAATGGAAGACACACTCAAGAAACCGACCTACGTCATTAGAGATGTAAAGCAATTGTACTGACTACAAACAGAAAAATCATTTTTACGGCCTAACAGTCCAGTGTAAGCCAAAGTTTTTCTGAAAGATCTAAACTAATGATGAGACGGCCGTTTTTAGGTCCTTGGTAACAATTTACTTGTGACAGGGTCAAGGATCAATTAGATTTGTGTAAAACATGTTATCTCAATGGAATAAGTGCCTAAAGCCCAATTATAGTATTTGCAAAGCAAATTAAATTGAAAAGTTTCTGGCGGAGCATGCCCCCAGAGCCCCCTAGTTTGCAGTACATCCGGAGGTCCAACCTTTCTTTCTGTGCGTACACCTTCAAAACCTCACGCTACTCCCCCGTTAGTTTTTTAAATGAGCCAAAAAAGTTTATTAAAACACGTAAAAAGGTTTGGCTCCTCGTCAATGTAATTCCATACCTTCAAAAGTGAACCCTGAAACGCTAGGAGTATGACAAACTGGGGGAGATTCTTCACTTAATCTGGCTGCATCCTCAGTTTTACTGTCTTCATCAACTGGGCATTGGTCTCCTGAGAATCCAGAAGCTGAATGAGCATGTGTTTTTGCAACAGGCTGCTTTTCAGTGACAGGACCATCCTTTGGTATATCAGAAGCATCTGGTGTGAGAACAAGCTCTTACTAAGCTTCTTACAAAATAATGTACATATTTAATATATTTAATGCTTTAAACCAATTTTAAAACATTCTCCACCACCCATAACCATACGTGTGGAACCACGTCCCATGTATAACTTTACAGCAGTGTCATTAATTTTGACGCTCACAGGTTAGGGTTAGTGTCAACCCTAACCCTAACTCTAACCCTAAAACACCATTCTTTAAAAAAAGATAGACCCCGACCCCGCGTTTTACTGACACCCACTTTTTAAAGTACTATAAATCCATTTTAAGCTTACATTCCAAAATGGTTTTTACTCGGTTATACAGTCAGCTCTATCAAGCTTTGAGCTACATTATTATAAAGAAAAAAAAAGTATCTCAAAACTTCAAGTAGCCAATTTTATTTCTGTATGTTTGTCACTGCCCAACGCAAAACTGACTGTCTTTGTATGTTTTCCTTCAGCAGCGGTTTAAATAACATCTCTGACGTTCAAGCGAGGCTCTATACTTAAAAGAATTATAAGTGAGTTCTTAGGAAAGTAATCTTTTGGGATTGTAAATGACCTGAGATCAGGCTCTATTTTCGTTTCGCTTCATAAATGAAACTTAAAAAAAAATTATTAAAAAAAAAAAAAAAAAAAAATGAAACTTTGGCGGGAAGGGCGAAACGAAAAGGGAGTCTGATAAACATCTTCTTTGAAACGCGTCTACCGCCCACTTTTCTTGATTGATTGACATTTACCGAAACAGCCAATCAGAATTTGTTCCGCGCGACTCGCGAGCTCTCGCGTGCTTTCTACGGCTGTGAAAGAAAAGGGGAAGCCATTTTATTTATCCCGGTCAACTGCACACTTCTTCGTTCTTGTGTACCTTTTTCAGAGTATTTTAGTTTTTACTTTATAGAAAGTTCCCAGTTTAAGTATTTAGGTCGATAAATGTGTTGTGTTTTTAACCTTGCCAGTAGACCTCTTTTTGGAGTTCAAAGTGTTGCGAGTTGCGGGTGAGTGAATAAGCTTTTAAAGATTTTTTCCAGGGTTTCATCTTCTTGATCGAACGTTGAGTAGAATCTTCTTATTTTACATGTATTTTGTATTTTTATAAATTTGATTTCAATCTCGAGCCCATGTTTTGATCGATTTCTGTTATCTCCGATTAAGATTTTGAACATCCTGCAAAATGTTTCCACTGATAACCAGTTTCTGACATAGAATATTGAAATAACTGATTTTATAGTCGTTGTTTTCCTTGTGCCGTCTTAAAACAGGTCACTTGTTTCAATTTTATATAAGGCCTTTAAAACTAAATAATTTGCATGTTATCCTCTCTTGCATTGCCATGTGTAAATCATCATCTCAATAGAAGAAATAAAACTCAATTTAACGACAATAACCTACAATGGTGTCCTCTCAATCTTGTTGACATCCATTTAATTATATTATAAAGCTTATTGACGTGCATGAGAATTGGGATTGAATATAACTCATAAGATATGTAAACCAACCTTCCTTTAATATACCAGTCAGGTTCATGCCATTTCTCAGTCTTTGAGGTTTAGTACTGAGACTTTCTGAACACGAATTGTGCAAAGGCGCGAGCCTTATCAACGTTTCAGTTCGAATGCTCCCAAACTTTTCTGGTCTTCACTCATATTATAAAGTTAAGAAACCGCAAACCTTCCAAAGGATACATAGGAAAATCTCCTCTCATGGCGAATCATTCGCGAAGTGATCGAGAAAGAGCGCGAGGATCATAGTGCTTTTAACTTCCGGTGATTTCAACAGCCAATCAGATCGTCTGGCGTTGTTCTAAGGGTCATTCTGCGTTGCAGCAGCATAGGCCAGGGCGTGAGCAGGGCGGATGAAGACGAGCGCGTCCGAGCAAAAAGGTTTGATGCAGTGGATTGGGATCAAATCACACTTAAAATTAAAGTGTAATATTACTCCAAAAAAAAGTGTAAAATCTTTGCCAGCCCCGGCAGCCTTTTTTTTCTGTGTATTATTACACATTTTATAATAGTGTAATTTAACACACAACTAGAGGTTATATTTACACACCAGTCAGTGTAATGTGAGTGGTTTACACTTTGGTCAAGTGTAAAATTGCAGTTGTTATAAGTGTAATAAAATACTAATAGAAGAGTAATATTACACCGAATGATAGTGTAGTAGCTTTGCCAGCCCCGGCAGTCTTTTTTTTCTGTGTATTATTACACATTTTATAATAGTGTAATTTAACACACAACAAGAGGTTATATTTACACACCAATCAGTGTAATGTGAGTGGTTTACACTTTGGTCAAGTGTAAAATTGCAGTTCTTATAAGTGTAATAAAATACTAATAGAAGAGTAATATTACACCGAATGATAGTGTAGTAGCTTTGCCAGCCCCGGCAGCCTTTTTTTTGTGTGTATTATTACACATTGTCCAATAGTGTAATTTGACACGCAACCAGAAGGTTCATTTACACACCAAACAGTGTAACTGTGAATGGTTTACATCTTGGTCAAGTGTAAAATTGCACTTCCCATAGGGGTAATAAAACATTAACAGAAAAGTAATATTACATCAATTTATAGTATTAGGCAAAAAATTACGCATTTGAAAAATATAGCAAATCACATTTTTAATCACTGAATAAGCAGCTAGACTTCTAGCAATAAGTAAAAATGAAAGGTCAAGTGTGCAAGCCATGGTGCGTACTGTCTAACTGCTTAGGCAGGAGTGATGCGTACTGTCCTATCACAAATCAGTGCTTAGGTCTGAGCCGGATGAGGTTCAAGGTTTGAGCTGCAAGGTGGTACCCGGGAAAGATAGTTAGCAGGACATCTTCCTCTCCAATTATTAGTATTTTTCCAGTCATGGTGTAATGCCTTTCCCACAGTAAAAATGGATGGCCGTGCATCTTTTTTGCTTCTTCTAGATATTGTCCTCTTGTGGCTGCAACCTGTGTGACAAACGAAATTGAAAAAAAAAAAAAAACAAGACTTGGTTTAGTCGATATTAAAGTGTTCTTAATTTATTTTATCGGTGATGAGGGTTGAAAATTGGACCGAGTGTTTTAGAGTTCCTTCTAATTGAAGTAACACAATAATGCTCTCTTGACAAACATGGTTAAGGTAAACTACTTAAATTAAATTTCATTTACAAAATAATCACATATTAGGTTTAAGATATAAAAAGGTTTTTTCTCTAGAGTCTTAACAATCAAGTACATTTTTCCTCCTCTACAAAACAAAACACAGCTTCAGATATTCAATTCAGATATCAAATCACAAATTAAAATAACTCAAAACATTTGTTATTCCATCCATGACCCCCAGTAACACTATAGGGGGGCCAAACCACCTGACTGAGTCATAAGTCAAGGAGGGCATGAAAATTACCACCTTGCATAACTGCCTGGCCGGTGGACCAGAGCCATGATGAAAACAAAACACACTATTAGACTTTATAACTTGGTAACGAAACAAAAGCTTCACTGGTATACAATTCAGATATCCGATCACAAAATTACTCAAAAAACATGTTTTATTCCAATCCATGACCCCCAGTAACAGGCGGGCAAAACCACCTGACTGAGTCGTTAGTCAAAGGCGGGCATAACCACCTTACATAACTGCCTGGCCAGAGGACCAGGGCCATGATGAAAACAAAACACACTATAAGACTTTATAACTTGGTAACGAAACAAAAGCTTCACTGGTATACAACTCAGATACCCGATCACAAAATTACTCAAAAAACATGTTTTATTCCAATCCATGACCCCCAGTAACAGGCGGGCAAAACCACCTGACTGAGTCGTTAGTCAAAGGCGGGCATAACCACCTTACATAACTGCCTGGCCGGAGGACCAGGGCCATGATGAAAACAAAACACACTATAAGACTTTATAACTTGGTATCGAAACGAAAGCTTCACTGGTATACAATTCAGATATCCGATCACAAAATTACTCAAAAAACATGTTTTATTCCAATCCATGACCCCCAGTAACAGGCGGGCAAAACCACCTGACTGAGTCATTAGTCAAAGGCGGGCATAACCACCTTACATAACTGCCTGGCCGGAGGGCCAGGGCCATGATGAAAACAAAACACACTATAAGATTTTATAACTTGGTATCAAAACGAACGCTTTACTATACAATTCAGATATCCGATCACAAAATTACTCAAAAAACATGTTTTAGTCCAGTCCAAGACCCCCAGTAACAGGCGGGCAAAACCACCTGACTGAGTCGTTAGTCAAAGGCGGGCATAACCACCTTACATAACTGCCTGGCCGGTGGACCAGGGCCAGGATGAAAACAAAACACAGCTATACGACTTTATGACTTGGTATTGAAACGAAAGCTTCAGATTCAATTCAGATATCTGATCACCAAATTACTCGAAAAACACGTTTTATTCCAATCCATGAGTCCCCTGGAAACAAGCGGGCAAAACCACCTGACTGAGTCGTTAGTCAAAGGCTGGCATGACCACCTCACATAACCACCTGGCCGGTGGACCAGGGCCATGATGAAAACAAACCACAGGTAAAGTAATGAAAATGATATTAAGCCTTTTTAAGTCTCGTGCAATTACACGTTTTTGTATGCGAAATCACATATAAAAATTGGACAAGCTTAATATATTTTTCTGGTTTGGATTTATCTCTATTCTACATATCATTGATACTTCTGTTCATATTTGAAAAGTGTACACTTTTTTCTACGTATTACCACAGGTAGACCATCCGAACTGTTCGAGGGATCGTGATGTCACGCGCAACATGTGATCCCGTATATTTACTGTATTTTGTAACGCCCGCACTCGGCTTGATTCAAGTGATCGGTAGAAATGCTTCATAAAACACAGAATTTTGCACCTTTTGATCCCAAATGTTGATATAATGTACCCAGTGGCTATTCGTGCGTGACCCGTACACCAAAGTGTATTTGCTATTCATACGGGATCAAGTGTCTTCTTGAAATTTATATGAAATTTCTAAGTCTCTTGAAATTTCTGGTCATTAAATTTCCATGAAAGTGTAAGTCTTTTCAACAAACGTTCAATTTTTAGGGAAAAAAAATTCAGTGGCAAATTCTAAAAGGAAAAACAAATTCGATGGGGTACGATATGGATTGAGAACCGATCCCAGGACGTAGAATTTAGTATGTGGCCTGACCACTCTACCACGGGATACTCTCTGCTAGATGGAGTTTCATTTTCATTCATATAGCAACAACCATAACCCTAAATAGAAGCTAACCGTTTCGAGTCAGTGCTTAACCCTAATCAGCATGGTCAGTGCTTAGCCCTAATCACTATTTTCATTGCTTAACCCTTGTTAGTGCCCCAATCAATTTACTCAGAATCCCGTATGAATAGCAAATACAAGTCGATGTACGGGTCCGGTACGAATAGCCACTAGGTATAATGTAAGAAAAATAAATAAAGATAACTTACATTATATCAACATTTGGGATCAAAAGGTGCAAAATTCTGTGTTTTATGAAGCATTTGTACCGATCATTTGAATAGTAAATGTATGGAATCAAATGTTGCGCGTGACATCACGATCCCCCGAGTTCAGGTGGTACGCTTGTAATACACGTCTATTGTTTGCAAAGAGCAAAACCACTCGAATTAAAAGTAATTATATTCGCTATAAATATTTAAGCTTCAATTTGTGTCTGCAAAAACAACAAGGTGATACAATGCAGTCTTCGCTGTTGACGTCATGTCACGCGACCTTTTGGCGGTTAAAAGCAAACGAACAACCAACGGCAATATTCACAAAACATTTCAGTCAGCTTATATCCAGTATTTATATTTCTAATGTTAGTCGTATATATCTGTCTCCTCTCAGGCTATTCTCCTAACAAGCCTAAACAAAAATTTGAGGCGAAATAGCGAGGTTATCTTAATTTCGAGATTTCAAAGCTAAACACCAAACATATGCGCTTTTCATTTCGCATCGCGCTCTCCCACAGTAGGAAAACCGCTCAAGGTGTTGCAGTACGGTAAAACAATACTTCAAAAGCCTCAAGAAATCTAGGGCCAGACTATAGTTTTAACATAAAACTCAGAAATTACGGAAAGTATACTCACCTCGAAATGCGAAATGCGCCGTCGTAATCTTTGAACATGTTTGAATGCATGGTTTTTGCTCTCTTCTTAGCAGTCATTTGGAGCCTCCATCATCCTTTGCTCTAACAATCGGCCCTACATCCTTGTTAACTTGAAATCAATGAAGACTTTGAGTTAAAATCTTCAAATTTACGGCGCTTAATGTTAGTACAACCTTCGTGGAGGACGGTTGGAACAAAAGATGAATACAAACGGTATTCAAGTGTCTTTATCGGCAACATCATCGATCCTGATTGCACGAAAATTCGCGCCCTGTCACTTAAGCTCCTGGTGACTGACTAATGATACGTGATCTTTGGATCTGCTGCGGCTTTTGACTCAGTCACGTAATTTATGTTGCTGTAAATTTCCTCTTCGAGAACACGCGGAAAAGGAACTGCTTCGGAACATGGTCTGAATTGAATCGATCTAAGTACGAAGACAATGGACAATGAAGAAAAAAAAAAAAGAAGAAGAAGAAGAAGAAGAAGAAGAAAGAAACATAGTGTTACATTTCTCAGGAAAGATAGAAACCCGCACAAATGACAGTCCTGTCAATGGAGTGATGCATCGTTAGCGGTTTAGGTCATTTCATTAATTTAGCTTATACACCTTGCAATTTACACATGTATACAAATGCAGTTGCGTGAATTTCGTACGATATATCTGAAATGAGACCTTAGACTGCAGCTGAAGTATATTCCTGTTACATGTACAACTAGCGGCTCAGATAACTTATTCACGCGATGAAGATTTTCTTGTTTCGATATCTTTTTTTTAAAAAAAGAGAGTGGGTGTTTTATTCTATAAACGTATAAGTGCACATGTGAGTGCATAATTACCCCCGCTGCCGTATACATTTACCCTATAAGTAAATGTTAAAAATACCTTTTGTTTCAGCCTAAACGTGGTGTAAAAATACTCAAAATAACGAGTATCACCACGCCATAATTTCTGTGTAGTGTTTTACACCATAAAAAGTGTAACTTTATAATTTTTCTTTTGTAACAATACACTTCAATTTTAACACTTTTAGTTGGTGTTAAAGTACCCGAAAAACGAGTAACACAACACTACAAATAGTGTAATATTACTCTGTGTTATTAGTATACTCTAACACCAATAGGTGTGTTTAATTCTATAAGTTTATTAGTGTAAAATTACCTTTACTATGGTATACATTTACGCTGTAAAAACGGGTAAAATGTACACCGTACCCTGCGTGTAATGTTACAATAGAAAAAATTGTAAAAGTATACCTTTAACTGTGTAATATTATCATGTTAAGAGTACCACCTCTTTTACACTAAAGTTTGCGTAAAATTACCCGACATAAAGCGTAACACAACACTGAAAATTCTGTGTAACGCTTTACTCGTTAAAAATTGTAATATTACAAATTTTCCTTTGTAACATTACACTTTAATTTTAAGTGTGATTATGGACTTACAGATCAAAGTGACGGCGAGTTGAGAACAGGAAAATGAGTTATGAGTTTGCCAACTCTTCAATAACCGAAGAAAAATAGGAAGAATAAAGAACTCGATACACTGTATCCTTTTTGGAATTGAGCTTCTCGCCACTCAAACTGACAGCAAATAAAGATATAGGAAGCCGTTTCTCGCGTTGCTAGGTGATCGCTTCTCTTATTTCCCCCGCAGGGATTTCGCCCAGAGGCGAAACCCCTAGGAGGCACCCTATTAACTCGCCCGTATATTGAGGACAGTACTTACAGTTCAAATATACAGTCGCTATACTAGAAAAAATCTCGATTTGCTCGAACAGGGGCCACGAGGAATCGGTAGGTAATGATGACGTTTCTATTGTTGGCGCCCGCAAGTACGAAATGGTTAGGATGACGTAAAGACAAAATTCCGAAGGGACCGCTCAGGTAGATTTTGTGACATTTATTGTGCAGTCATACTTCGATACTCTTTTGCGTTATGCAGTGACATTCTGTGGAGCAGTTGTTTTGAAAGTTATGGACCAAAAGACACTCGTTAAGCGCAGATGAGGTCATAAGGTGTGTTTAACTGTGTATATATAAACACTTGGAGGTTTGCCAGACATGAGTTCACAAATCTTTGATTTATATTGGAAACCTTGCCAGACACTCTTTCTCTCTCTTTGACCGGAATAAGACTCAGCCCCAAACAAGGAAGACGAGTGAACAACGGCTAGCTTATCACTAGCAGATTGATGGACAATTACATGAATTCGCCGACAATCAAATTCTGTGCTGACTTTTTCCCTGCTCACAGATGTTCTTGCGTTACTTCAAATAAGACTAGAATGCGCGAGCGTGAATCGATCAAACGTCCTTTTAACTTCTAAGGCTTACTTTCCGGCAAATAAAATGAACTGAATGTAAAAAGTGAAAGAGAAGTAGCGAAAAATTCAACTTCTAATTAAATCTTTTCGCATGGTTTAGAATAGACTATTCTCGAAACTGAGAATGTTTTGATCAAAGCTGTGTAAATCGAGCTAAAACTGTGCATGAAACCTTGCGTTTCCTGTATTTATCTCACCTATTGTATGGAATATGTGTAAAAATCTTCATTATGAATCGGTATATTTCAAAGAGCTACACAACCAGCAAGAATACTATTGACCGACAATACAAAGAACGGAGGCAGCTGTAGTGCCAACTATTACTAGTTCCTATTTTCCTTTTAATAGACGGTCTGAAAACCGGGCTCAAGTTACTTAACGGGAAAGCCGAGGCAAGCCTATTGTGTCTATGGTAGTAGAGAGAAGGTCATTAGTGAACCTATCCACTTCATTATATATGGAGGAACGCACTTTCCCCCTAAGTTTTAACGATGGGTGACGTCATGGACTCGACCCATATGCATATTAATAAAGGGAACGCACCAAAACGGCGTAAAAACAACATAGCAGACTACTTTTATAGCTCACCCAAGAGTTCGTGGAGTTGAATGTTACAAACACATCAGCTGGCAATGAAAGGAAACAACGCCTTAGTAAATGTTAGGAGGCACTCTTTCTCCAAAAATGTTGGAATGTCATTGGGTGTGCAGTGATTGGTGAATAATCATGTGATAGACATGCACGCTTTAGCCTTCTATAGGACTGGTAATTGGGAAATTGATTTTTTGTCTACTTTTGCTTTTCTTTGTGTTAAGCGATTATAAGAAAAGGGGGTTTCTTATATAGCTTTCAAATTCAGCTTAACAGAGGAAATCAATATTTTTCGAGCGGTAAAATATTTCTATTAATGGGAGAATATTGAAATTCATATATTTCACTCACATTATTAATTTTATTTCATTTTCAGTTTCAATTCCCCTTAGAAACTGGACAAGTGTTCAGATCAGTTACGGTATCGCTTTAAAACCCTTTTTCAGTGATCATTATCAATTTCACCTTACTCTCTTTCTACTTTTGAGTTTTACGACTTGTTGTCCCGGAGTTCCGCGGAGAACTGAAAACTAGCTAGGAGGCCTGGCTTCAAAGGAGGCTTGGCTACTCAGTAAAAGGGAGAAACTGTGACTTGAAAACGTGGTTGACTGAGATTCGTTTAATTTCTTGTAGTGTTAACAAAAGTTTATTTCAAAAGTTTAGTATTCGCATCCTTGGCGACATGTGGTAGCAGAGCGAGGTTGTAAACCGTTTGTACGTGGAACATGAGCGGATGTATTCGTCAGCGTTTAGGTCCGGCGAAGAAGCGACTGAAGGATCGAATTAAACAAACTCAAGCCTTCCTCCAACACAATGTTACTCTGGATGAAAGTGAGAACAAAGCCAATCAACTACTCTTCAAGTTGGAAGGAAACCTCAAATCTATTAAAGATTTACTGGAACAGCTACAAGAATCATCCAAGGAAGACGAAGCTAAAAGCCAGCGACTGGAAAATGAAATGGAGGAGTTCAATATTCTCAAGCTTGATGGAGACGAGGCTATTTGCGATCTTAAAACACTTCTGATAAATATTGCTAAACGAAAACAAGAGACAACTGAAAAGGAAGAAAAACAGAGGGAAAGAGCTCATGAAAGAGAACTTCAAATGGAAAAACTTCAACAAGAAAAGGACCTTCACCTTGCAAAACTTAATCAAGAGAAAGAGATTCAAATGGAAAAGATGAAGTTGGAATTGAAAATTTTGAAGCAGAATGAAATAGACAAACAGGGTGAACATGAACTAAAGAAATTGGAGGTGGACCTGGAAACTAAAAGGAAGTTGGCTCAAGCTGAAAAGGAAATGGAGCTCAAAAGAACAACTGCAGATATAGAACTTAAGATGAAAGCAGAAATGGAACAAAAACGTCTTGAATTGGAAAAACAGTTTGGTGTTCCAATTACTCGTCACACTCCCACTATCAAGCTTCCCAAACTGGAACTTCAAAAATTCAATGCAAATATTTTGAAGTGGCAAGAATTTTGGGACACTTTTGAAGCCTCCATTCACAAGAATCCAAACCTTCAGCCTGTGGACAAATTCAACTATTTAAGAGCTGAATTAGAAGGAGATGCAAGTGTAGTTATCTCTGGACTGGAACTAACTAACAACAACTACGAAGTAGCGGTAAATTTACTCCAAGAGAGATTTGGAAGAGATGAACTCATAATGGATGCTCACTACTCGGTGTTAATGGATCTTCCTGTCTCTTTAATTAACACTGCCAAACTTCGTGAAACTTACGACATGATTGAGAAGCATCTTCGTTCTCTTAAAGTCCTTGGTGAAAATGTGGACCAGCCACATTTTGTTTTCCTCATTAAGTCAAAGCTGCCAAAGACAGTGATATCCCGAATGGAAGAGTACAAGGACATGGAGGAGAAGTGGACAGTGGAAAGTATCCGAAAAGCTTTAAAGCGGTATATTTGTGCTCAAGAGGTTGGAGAACGTCAAACACAATTGATTCAGAGCCCCGAAAGTCAAGATACCACAGTGAAGTCTCAAAAACAGAAACCGTTGCCTTCAGGATGGGCTGGGATCACCACCACGGGTGCCTTACTTTCTGGAAATGAAGAGTCTGCTAATGATGGTCAAACAATGGGCTGCTTTTACTGTCACAGAAAGGATCACTGGAGTGACCAGTGTAAAACGTTTCCAACGGTAGAGTCAAGAAAGGCAAAAATCAAAGAAAACTGCTTTATTTGCTTGAAGCCAAATCATCTACTGAAAGACTGCAAAGTAAACAAGCCATGTTTTCATTGCCATAAAGCTGGAAATCATCACAGGAGTCCTTGTCCTAAAAGGTTTTCTTCTAGTGAAGAAAATGAAACTTTGACTATGTTTATTGACCCCCAAATGGCACCGGAAACTGAAAGTTCACTACTGGTTTCCGGCGAGCAAGTACTGATGCAGACGGCACTGGCAGATACTGTGAACCTCAAGACTTCAAAGAAACAGTCTACTCGACTCTTGCTAGATTGTGGAAGCCAGAGAACCTACATAAGTGATGATTTAGTGAATAAACTCCAACTGATGCGCAGCAATATTGAAATCTTGACTGTCTTCACATTTGGTTCCACAAAGCCCAAGGAATTTAAGACTCCAGTGGTTGAGTTTGGTTTGAAATTAAAGAATGGACAGACAGTGGACATTCAAGCAAAAGTTGTTCCAAAGATCACTGGGATGATTCAAAGGGCTCCTATTAATTTTAAGCAGTTTGAATTCCTTGCAAAGGAGTATCAGCTTCCTAACACCCTCCCAAATGAACTGGAGATGTCAAATGTGGAATTGTTGATTGGAAATGATTACTACAGTGATTTGATTTTGCCAGAGAGAGAAAAAGGTGATTCCTGGACTCTACTTGCTTGGATCTCATTTGGGTTGGATCCTCTCTGGTAGACTGCCAACTGAAGAAAAGAAAGCAGCGGAAGTTTCAATGTTCCTTACGACTGGAAATTCCAGTCAGCAATATCTGCAATCCTTCGTTGCTCCTTTGGAGAACATAAATGACTTTGTGAATCCAAACTTAGACGAGTTTTGGAAATTGGAAACTATTGGAATCAAGGAGCCAATCAACGATTGTGATGATGATCTAGCCATTCAAAACTTCCACGACACTGTTAGGAAGACAAATGGGCGATACGAAGTTACTTGGCCATGGAAAGAAGAAAACCCTCAGCTCCCAGACAACTACCAGTTGGCTGTTGGTAGGCTTAACTCTCTACTGAAACGAATTCAAGGAAATCCAGAATTAATTCAAAGGTATGACAGCATCATCAAAGATCAAATCAAAAAAGAAATGATTGAGGAAGTGAATGATAGAACTGAAGAAGGATGTAAAAAGCATTACGTTCCCACCACGCTGTCATCACCCCTGATCGAAAAACAACCAAAGTTAGAATTGTCTATGATGCATCAGCAAAAGCCAAAAAAGGATGCAAGAGTCTTAATGAGTGTTTGTACCGTGGTCCTGTCATCTTAGAAGATCTTTGTGGGCTTTTACTACGATTCAGGATTTACAAAGTAGCACTGACAGCAGATTTTGAAAAGGCCTTTCTTCAAGTAGGTCTCCAACCTGCAGATCGAGATGTCACTAGGTTCCTGTGGCTTAAAGATCCTACTAAGCCACTGTCCAAGGACAATCTGCAAATTTATCGCTTTACGAGGGTCCCATTTGGAGTTATCTCAAGTCCTTTTCTGCTTGGTGCCACTATTCTCCATCACTTAGAACAAGTTGGAACTCCTACTGCAAACAAGATTATGAAACACATGTATGTGGACAATCTTTTGACTGGAGTCAATTCAAGTAAAGAAGCAAGAGAGTTTTATTCAGAATCAAAAGAAGTATTTCAAGAATCATCCATGAATCTGAGAGAATGGGGGTCGAACTCGAAAGAATTTCTTAAGTAAATTCCAGAGCAGGATAGAGTAAAGGAAACCATAATGAAAGTACTTGGAATACGCTGGAACACTATTAAAGATCACCTAATAGTCAAAGGTTCAAAACCAACAGAATGTTCCTCGAAAAGAGAAGTGCTTAAATCCATCGCTACAGTTTTTGATCCACTGGGATTTTTTACTCCTACAACTCTTCAGGGAAAACTCTTCCTTCAAGATTTATGGGCCTCAAAGAAAGAATGGGATGAGAAACTAGATGAAGAGATGCTTCATAATTGGATGAAACTACAGAAAGAGATGGAATGTATCTCCATGGTAACCATTCCTCGATTCATCGGAAACTCAAACTGTCAGTTGCTGTGCTTTTGTGATGCCTCAACCAAGGCTTATGCCTCTGTTATCTACTTGAGCTCTGATGCTGGTGTTAATTTGCTCTTCTCCAAAGCAAGAGTAGCTGAGTAGCTCCCATAAAGAAATTAGGAACACCTCGACTGGAGCTTCTAGCAGTGCTTATTGGTGTTCGCATGCTCAACTTTGTACAAGAGCAACGTCAACTCCCTATGGAAAAGAAATTCCTTTGGACAGACAATCAGTGTGTTCTTCATTGGATCATGAGCAAGAAGCTACTAACAACTTTCGTTCAGAATCGACTCAAGGAGATCAATGAAACAAAGGACATAAGTTTCCGTTACGTCGAAACCAGTCAAAATCCTGCGGATTTAGCAACAAGAGGAGTCTCTGCACAAGATCTGGACAAAAGTGAACTTTGGTGGCATGGACCGAAATGGCTTCAGGACAGTGAGAAAACATGGCCAACTTGGGATATCCCAATGATTACTAAAGAAACATTGGAGAAGACTGAAAGTGAAACAAAGGGCCCGAAAACCTTCTATGAAACTTCCAACTTGGCTGGAGAAAACATCAATGAAGGGAAGGTTGAAAGCAAATAATAATAATAACTTTATTTTTATAGCGCTCTTATCCTATGTTCAAGGCGCTTAAAAATAAGTCAGCATCCTTTGTCAACCCCATCAGAATGGATGAAAAGAAATATTCTCCCCTTCTTCGGCTTCTTCGAATTACAGCATGGCTATTAAGATTTGTTGAGAAAGCTAGAAAACAGAAAACCCAAACTGGAGAGCTAGAAGCTATCGAAATTAAGGAAGCAAAAACTCTATGGATCAAGTCCATCCAGAATACTTACTTCCCCGAAGCATTTAACAGCACAAATGGAACTGTGAACAAGAAGGATTACAAAAATCAACTTGGCATTCAACTTCATGAAGATGGACTACTTCATTGCCATGGAACAATGATTCATGCTGAACTATCTCCTGATGCAGTATATCCAATACTTCTTCCCAAAAGGAGCCACTTCACGTCACTACTCATTAAGGAATACCACCAGAAGCTCTTTCATTCCGGTGTTTCTCATACCTTAGCTCAACTCATAAATGAATATTGGATTCCTTAGGGAAGAGCTGAAGTAAAGAATGCAATTCATGACTGTGGTATCTGTAAGAGATTTCAAGGTGGACCCTTCAGACTTCCATCAATGTCTCCATGGCCCAGGAAGAAAGTAGCACAATCTGCCCCATTCACCTATACTGGTTTAGATTATTTTGGCCCTCTTTATATTCAAGGTGAAAGTTCGAAAGAAAAGGTTTGGGTATGTCTCTTTACCTGCGTCACTGTCAGAGCCATCCATTTGGAACTGGTAAAGGATATGACTGCTGAGCAGTTCCTGCTTGCACTCAGACGTTTTATAGCAAGAAGAGGAAAACCTGCACAGATTATACTAGATAACGCCCCACAATTTAAGCTCGCGAAAACTGCCATTGATAAAGCCTGGAAGGAAACAATTTCACACCACGAGGTGCAAAGTTACACTGCCAACCAAGGAATTGAATGGAACTTGATAGTGGAACTGGCCCCTTGGATGGGTGGTTTTTATGAGAGACTAGTTGGCACTATTAAGGGAGCTCTCAAGAAATCAATTGGCAAAATCTGCCTGACCGAGAAGAAGCTTGAAACCTTTCTAGCAGAGACAGAGGCTGTTATTAATTCTCGCCCACTTGTTTACGTCGGTGAGGACTTCGGTTCTGGATTTTCGCTTACTCCAGCAGACTTCTTAGGCCTCAATCCCAAGTCAGGGATTCCGGTAATCGAGATCCATGGCCCCCATGATCCAGATTATGGAAAGAAGAGCTCAACCGATAAATTAGTAGAGATTTGGGGTAAAGGTCAGCAACACCTGAATTCACTTTGGAAAGTCTGGAAAGATGATTACTTACTTAACCTCCGAGGAAGACGCCAAACACATGTAAAGGGTCCTCGAATTCAAGCAGCAGAAGAGCCTAAGGTAGGCAGTATAGTGCTTTTAAAGGAAGATTTATCACGTCAGGTCTGGAAAATGGCAAAAGTTACTGAGCTGATTTCAAGCAATGACGGAAAGATCCGGGCAGCCAAAGTTCTTCTTCCAACCAAGAAAGTACTCAACAGACCCTTAGATCTACCCTACCCATTAGAATGTCATAGTGGTCGAGAAATTGAAATGACGCAGGATGGAGAACAGTTAAAAGAAACTGAGGAAATTACCTCGAACATTTTGCGTCCCACTCGAGCGGCAGCAATTAGGGACTGGTCAAAAAGTATGGGGGGGGGGCCGGAGCATTTGGAAATGTGGTTGATAAAAACCACATGACCCACCCCCTCCCTTCGGCACAAAAATGACTGACCCACCCCTAAAGCAAGGTTGGAAATTGCATGACCCACCCCCTAGTTAAAACATGGACGTTCGGTTTCCTCTTAATAATCCAATAAAACCTTGTTCTGTACTTGATAAAATTTGTTGATACACTGCTACAACCAACATCAAAATCACAGAAATTATACCTTTCACTGAAAAGACGAATGTCAAAAACCGAACATTCTTGTTTCAATGGACGTTATGAGTCTTGACACAAATATAAAGCAAAACGAGGGTATATTGAAATTATCTGTCACAAAGCATATGAAAATTTCAACAAAGACAACCCATTCCTACACATTACTTGCCGGAAATGCTTAGATTAATCCTCAAATCAAATTTCTTCCACTTCAGTGGAAAGCACTACTTACAAGACCATGGAACTGCAATGGGCACAAAGACAGCAGTTTTGATTCCTTTGCCAATATTTTCATGACATATATTGAAACAACAATTCTAAGCAAAACTGTCTTTAGAACAACAGTTTGGAAATGCCACATACACGATATCTTTTCCCTATGGGACATGAGTAAACCAGACATCGAAGCCTTCATTGAACAAGCAAGCTTACATCACCCAACTATTGAATTCACGGCCAAAACATTTGACACTGAGACTGCGTTTTTAGACACGGTTGTATACAAAGGCACAAGATTCAAGGAAAAATCTATCCTTGATGCAAAGACACATTTTAAACAAACGGAAAGCTTCTAACGCACACATTTCACCTTGTGTCACGTTTTTTCTGAATGAAATTTTCGAAAAGGTAAATTTTGATCCCTATAATTTTCGTATCACTAGACTTTCAGCTAGGAGATCCGAACAGACGAAAAATTTTTTGGGGATAAAAGAACGCCTATATCTACTGTTTAAATACTAAGATACGTTTAACAATGCTATGTTTAAGTGGTTTTGAACTATATTCTCGTTGTGTGCCCCCTATCTTTGATAGAAAACCTACTGTCAGAAATAAAAGTCACAAAAGGAAGTCTAAACTCCTAAAACAAAGCAACCAGGAGGAAAAAGAAATATTGTCATTCGTGACCCAATACCAGCCCTCAGTGTCTACTATAAAGAAAGCTTGAATGAAAAAATGGAATCTTATACAAAACTAACTATAACTTCAATAAATTTTTAAAGAACCACCAATCATTTCCTTAAAAAAAAGGAAAATTGTTAAAGAACATGCTCGTTAGAGCCGAAAAAAAAGGTTAACAGAGGGTTCCACGCCCGTATAGATGTGCGGCCTGTCAACCCTTATATTTTCTCGCACAGCAGGTTTGTGAGTATTTTAGCAATAATTCCAGCTGGCTGTGTTTTATATAACAAGTGTAGTCAACTGTCTCGTTAGTAGTTAGTAAAAAATAGGGTGACCCACCCCCTAAGAGTAGCTGAAAATTGCTCGACCCACCCCTTGCACAAGGCTCAAAACCTCATGACCCACCCCCTCTCTGCTCCGGCCCACCCCCACCAATACTTTTTGACCAGTCCCTTAGAGCAAGCGAACAGATGCAAAAATTCCTTTCTTCCGAAATAGGAACTTTCTGCTGGCTTGGGAGTGTCGCGGAGTTCCGCGGAGAACTGAAAACTAGCTAGGAGGCCTGGCTTCAAAGGAGGCTTGGCTACTCAGTAAAACGGAGAAACTGTGACTTGAAAACGTGGTTGAAGCAAACATTGACTGAGATTCGTTTAATTTCTCGTAGTGTTAACAAAAGTTTATTTCAAAAGTTTAGTATTCGCATCCTTGGCGACACTTGTGCTCTCACACAACAAATAGGCAATAATCTCTACATTAAACTTGTTTTAAAAGGTTCAATTATTTTGCCTCAGTCAACGAGTTTAAAACTGAGATTCGTAGAAACTATGAAACGCTTCGTCGCACACTTTCAAAAATTTCGAAGAATTCAAAACAGTAGCGCATGTTAAGTTTACTTCGGATTCAATAAGCAAAACAGCCGCAGAGGTTTCGTAGAAGGCATTTATTAGTTTTTTGTTTGAGAAAGGTTTCTTTTTTGCTAGTCTAGTAAAGAATAATTTGCGCCACATAAAGTTTTCATCTGCAGATTTTGTTCTGAAGACTTGTTGAGGTTACCATTAAAAATATGTCAAAAAGGTGACTTCGTTCGCGGTATTTTTGTGACGACTAACGATGTTGTTATAAAAAATGGGACCCAATTGTTCCTGTTTTTGCCTCCAGTCACATATTAAAGCTCATGGAGCTTGGAGAGTTCTGGAAAGTTCTCAGCGCAATCTCGGATTTGCATAACTAGCTCGAATTATCTAACGACCCTCTCGTGTTTATTCCAGGCTATGGAAACACGGAAAAAGTTCTTTGTGACCTAAATGATAAAGTTTTATCTGAATTAATCAACGAAATTATATGGCCTTTCGTTAAAAGTGAGCTTTAGAGGTTCACGAACCCAGTAACGAGAAGTAATGGTCGGCTAATTCGAGCTACGGCTCAATGTCCCCTGTAGTTCATCAAACTTTTTTGTCTGTAGAAATTTGAACAACTAGCATTAATTGCTCTCAATTCTTAAGACACCGAACGGACATTCATAGTTAACGATATTAGACCAAAACGTCTTTGCCTTCTGTTTTTGGGTGCTGAACAAGAGATTTCTCTGAGAAATTGTGGACATTGTTTCTTGCGACGACGATATATCCTTCTGATGATGAAAACTCTGAAAACTGACTGACGGAACTGATGATTCTAATCCAGTACGCTTAGGAAAAGTGGTGTTGGATAAATTACGACCCTTGACTGACTATAATAGCTTCAAACGAAATTATAGATTCTGCTACTTTGTTTTGAGGGTCTAGAAAACGATTTATACCAAAGTGCCTGAGTCGTTATCCTCGAGTACACACTATAGCGGAGACACTGAGCATAATTTCTCAAGTTGGAAACTATTAGTTGCAGAGGTTTTAATAACACTATTTTTAGCTCACCTAAAAATTCGTGGAGTTGATCACTGTTAATCGCTACAGACGCATGAGCTGCCGATGAAAGCAAACGACGCCTCTGAGGATGTTACTGAGCAATTTTTCTCCTAAAATATTTACTAATGATTCTGGGTGTGATTGGTCGATGTTCATATGATCATGCGATAAGAACCAACATGCTATTGGTGGTACTTGGAACAATTAACACTTTGTGTGGAAACAATTATTTTAAGCAAATGATTCTATTAAAAAGAGGGCTTTCAGCTTTCAAAGTCCGCTTTGAATGAAATGAAATCTGTTTTCTCAAAGCAAACCAGTTGGTCGAAGTTTTTTCATATCTCTGTTGAATTGTGCCAACACCATTTTTTGATTATACAGAAAAAGTTTCTTCTTAATCAAATGTTAACGTTTCCTTACAACTTTGTGATTTGAGTGAGATATCAAAATAAATCGGCAAAATAGCCTTTCATACAAATTGAGCATCAGAACTTCACGAACGACTCAGTTACTTGTACGAGAAGGTATTGCCAGTTACTTTCACTCTCAAGCTACAGTTCAGTGTCCCCTGGGTCTTCAATTTTTTTGGAGTGGAGAATTTCAACTGGCGTTGCTCTAGCTATTTCTTAAGATACCAAACTATAATTCATGGTTGACGTAATAATCGTGCAATTTTTCCTCCTTCTGTTTTCCGCTGCTGAACACTGGAGAGCCTATTCCGAGAAATCATAGATTTTTTTTTCTGCGACGACGGTATGACTGATGGAACTGGTGTTTGTAATTAACCCCTGATTACGCTTAGGAAAACTAGTTGTTTTGTCAATGTAGTATAATTCGTTGACAGACTCAGAAACTTGAAATCTGTTTGTAAAATATCTCAATTCCGCTGATTCTTCGTTTTGAGGGTCTAGAAAGCTCATTTACACCGATGTGCCCTAAAGCACAAGTCACTTTCTTCAGCTAGAGGGAAACCGACTACAATTTTATCATAGCTGAACTGAAACAAGGATATAACCTTTTTTCATGTCCTGGAAACTGCTAGTTGCTATAGTTCTACAATTTAGAGCATGTTGTTTTGTCTCGTAAAAATTATTTTATTCAAGCGGTTGTAAGAAAAAGAGGGTTTTGGTTTCAGTTAGTTAAGTATTGTGTTCAAGCTAGTCTAGGGGAGAACAAAATCCAGATAGATTTATCATCTCTTGACCATTTTTCGGTTAGACGGATCCGGATTGACGTTTACAACGAAAATCTGCCAAAACTTTATTAATAGTATTCTTGACAAGACTGAACGTTATTTATAAATTTTATATAAACATTCTCCTGTGTTTTGAAAGCCTGATGTAAAGACTCACGGGTGTGGAAGAGTTCAGGAAAGTTCTCAGTGCAAACCGTCGACTTCGTGTCACGTTTGTATTGAGCCTCTGTGTGTGTGGGTACCTGTGGACGTAGTCTTGGGCGCGCGTTTCCCATCAAATGGTCGGTTTTCCAACGAAATCGTCGCTTGCGTCGTATCAAGATTTGTTTTGCAAGGTAACGCTACTTGCGAGTTCGAGACCAGGGCCCAGTTGTTCGAAGGCCGATTAACGCTTAACCCGGGGTTAAATTTAACCCTGGTTTCTTTTTCTTGCGTTCAAAAGCATTTTCTCAGATAATTTCTCTCTTATTTTTAGAGCTTCCAATCACCAACTCGTAGACAAAAAGAATGAAAACTGAAATGCTTTCTAAGCTTTCAAATCTGAATTCAAATCTCGCACTAACCCTGGGTTATCTTAACCCAGCTTTGAACAACTCGGCCCTGAACGTTGAGTCCTGAACGTGCGTGCCAGATTTCTTTGCCTTTATCGTGCGACTAACCTTGTCAAACTTCAAATCGGAATGCAATGCGACAGGCGCTTTAATCTCCAAGATCGTTGTTTCATCAATAGCGATCGTCGCGACTTCGATTTCGTAGCAAATATTCATAGAGAGTCTCATTACTTATTGTCTTGAATTTACCCAAAGACCAAGACCGTCTCGGGTTTATATTAGTCTATGTAAACAAGAAAAAAGTTTTCAATTGTTTATTAATAAATGTTAACGTTTCCTTACAATACAGTGATGTAAAATATCTGATTTAATTGGGTAAAGCGCATTAGACGTTTACGGACTGTTTCATCGGTTTCTTTCGCTTTACAGGTACAGTTCAGTATCCCCTGGTACTGCATACGTTTTGGACTGTAGAAATTTGATTGGTATTATCCTTATTTCTTATAATACTTAACTAAAATTCATGTTTGACGATATAATCCGGCAATTTCTTCGCCGCCTGTTTTCAGTTGTTAAGTAAATCATGGGTATGTTTTCGCTGCGTCGACGATAATGCAGATGCGATCAAAACTGACTGAACTTATTGTTTCCTTTCTGCTTTCGATAGGTTCTAGAAAGTTGACTCACTTATATGCCGAAGTGTACTTAATGTAATGCGGGTTGCTTTCCCCAAGGAAAGCGAAATCGCCTCAGTGCAAAATTTTCTTAGTTTAATCAAGGATTTGCCTCAAGCTGGAAACTGCTTGTTGCTATTAATTTTTTTAACAATATTAAAGCTCACCTAAGAGTTCGTGGAGTTTATTGTTACAAGAGCTGCCCAATGAAAGCAAACAACGCCTTTGTGGACGTTAACGCTAACAAGCATTTATTCCCGGAAAATTTTTTGCAAGTCATTGGTGTGATTGGCTGATAAACTGAACATGGGCTTTTTAAGCGTTCCAAATTTGGTTCCTTAATTAATTTTTAATGTCAATATCCTCGTCGTCCGAGCCTGAATTGTCACTAATTAGTTTAGCTGGATCAGGCTCCACTTCAACTGGACAGGGAAGGTACAAAAGAAAGAGAAGATGGCGAGAGGGGTGGGGGTGGGGGCGATTGTTCGAGGGAGGCGATTATTTAAATATTTCCGTTTATGGGGGGCGATTATTCGAGGGAGGCGATTAATCGAGGGACGGCTATTATTCGAGGAAATACGGTAAATGGCGGCATGGTTTTAGTGAGTTGGGTAAATGGAACAGTAATAATTGATCGTACCGTTAATGACCAAATAAACGCCCGCCCCGAAGCGTCTATTTAATTTTGACGGTTCAGCAGGGGCGTATAAAAGATCGAGAGAGGCGTTTATTCTCACAACTGTAACAAGCTCAACCAAGCTAATAAACTTTTGGCCAATATCCACTACTGACATCAATTGATACGTCTAGGCCGTCTAGAGATCTACATCACTCTTTCAAATCCCAACATCGATATGTCAAAATCCTCCTTCAGGGTTATTGTGTTGCCATCGTTAGTCTATCCTTACTTTGAAATTGACATTGAACGAGATGAGATAAGGCGTAAAGCTTACTTAATCAAGCAAGGAACTGAATGAATTGAATGATTTTGCTCGGTTTTTCTATTTCCTAGTATTATGAAGAAATTATCGTCATTAAGGGGCTTCTTTATTTATAGTGGGGCGTTTAATACCAACTTGACATTATAGAAAAGATTTAAGAAAAAGTCAAGTTAAACGTACCAGATTTCGTGTTTCCTGGTTCCACTGTCTTTTGATGGTGAATTTTTGCTTGCAGGACTCCTGGTGCTAAAAATAAATTCGCAACAAAACTTTGATAAAAGATGATATGACATTCTAGAAAGTTAACGGATGGGGAGATATACAAAAGCGGAGTCGCTTTTCTCGATAAAAAGAAACCTACACACACCTATCTCAAGTGGCAATTGTCACGTCAAATAAGTCATGAAAGAGTTCTTTGAATTGGTTGCAGAGGACTGAGTGAACCCCCAACAAAAGGAAACAACGGCTGCTTGATTTTTGCAAAACAAACATTTATTTTATACCGGGGAAGTCATCGGTGTCATTGGTGGAAAAATAAATCATGTGATCGCGCGATATTCAGCGTATATTGAAGGTGCATTGGTGTTTTGTCTGGTAAATTTATTTATACTTATGAGCGATCGTAAGAAAATATGGGGAAAACAGCTTCACCTTTCAAGTTTAGCTTTCTATGAAGTTTTTCTTTTCTTTTCTATATTTAAAACCGCAAAATTTTCTAGTCAGGAAACGATATTGCTTTAGAAATCATTCTATCATGACATTTAGTTTCTCTTTCTATCATTTCTTCTCAAATTTAATCATCTCTGAAGCAGAGTTCAGAGTTTAGTTGCAGCTATATTTTTCCCCCATAGTGTTAATTACCATTCAGAATAACAAAAATTGTAATTTATTTTAAGACGGTTGATTCAGCGAAAGAAAAGCTTCAGACGCAATGTTTGAAAGACATGATTTATCTACGCGCGGGCAGATGACAGCATACATCAGCTTGTTATGCTCACTGCTAAAGGGACATTTGTATAGGAAGTTTTGTTGCAACACTCACTTGCTCTGACATGTCGGAGAGGGAGTGGGGGGGAGGGTAGTGAAGGGGGCTTCGTTGAGCCTGAGGTAATCTGTTATCTAATTTAATATATATGATGGTTTTGGAGATCTCTATCGCTAATTCATTCCCAGAAGTACTGCTTGGCTCAGACTCCGACGTCCTAATATTCTCTACATCATAAGCGCTGCAAATGTATGGCGAGCGATAGTACAGTCTAGTTATAATCTGACCAAGCGCCCTTTTTGCTGTCTTCTGACTAAGAAATTTTTAAAATTGCTGTTTACTGTATGTATTTTTTTAATTGCTGTTTACTGTTTAATGTATACACCTGAATAAGCTAAACAGGAAACAGGTCGAGGGGAGTTGCAAAGATATTCTCTTGCAGTACTTAGTCATGGATTTCATGACTAAGTTCCAAAGAGAGTCATGTATCTAGCTAGACGGACATTCTCATGACTTATGTTACACCGGGAACACCATGTCCCTTTACCTGTTAAAGATGGAGAGGGGGTTACTGAATTTGAGGAAATCTTTTGTCTATCTTATCTTATAACTAAAAGTCTGTTGTCACTTGTCCATACTCCTACCATTTTCCTCCGATAAGGCTATCTCCATTTTTAGTTTGTCAATCTCATTTTCAAGAATTTGCATCTTGAAATTCCATTTATTTTCTGCCTGGTGCAGTTGCATCAAAGTCACTTCATCCCTCATTTGGCTGAGAAAAAGAAACGAATCTGAGTTCCTTCGAAGTCTTCCACCTTCCTGGCCTTTTTTGTCAGAAGCTGGCGAAAAATATAAGAAACAACAAAGCTGACTAGAGGATACTCTAAAGGATAAAATTATCCGACAACGGTAAAACTGTTTTCTTTGAACTTAAGCTATCCCATTGCTCTTAAACTCCTTTCCTTCCAATCTTCTACGCAGCAGCCGTTATACTTTTAATGGCATAGCTGTTCGTTACGAACCAAATATTGGTTGCTGAGTGCGTAAGAGACTGTCTTCTTTCCCTTTAACATCTGACATACGATGTACAGGCATTAAACACTTCATTATTTATTCGAAAGGCCATTCAAGTTCCTCTAAGAGATATGAAATCCTCCACGAAGGCATCTTAAGGCAATTGATAATAATTCCTTTTCAACGGATCGATTACAACAATGACCAGTGTCTTATATTCTCACAACCTCGGTCTCTTCAATTAATGCACCCTTTATATCACATCTGAACCGATCACTGGCAGGAAATCTAAGTACGTTTGGTAAGATCAAGGTTTGCTACGCTGGTAGAACTAAACAGCTAGTTCTTCAGTTCTTACTTGTACAAACGGGCGAGAAATATCCTTCTGGGCATGTGCAGTCTAACAACCTAAGAGTACTAGGTCTGCTATGGAAAAATCACAATTTCCTGGACAGCAGTATGAACAACGACGGTATATTTACAATATAGGATGAGCTTATAATTATAGACCCTTATAGAATGCTGTCTTCATAGATACTGGACAGCTTTTAGGCAACAACCAGATTAAGGAAACAAATAAACAAAACTATAAGTTGAGAAATAAAAAGAGGCTCACCAAACAAATTTCCCCTTCCCACCAGAGCGTTTACTGGCAAGACGCAAAAAAAGGTCATCGTAACTTACCTCGATTTTGTCGGAACGTGAGATCAAGATAAGCTTCTCTATACTCCTGTTCATCAATAGAAACTGTCACCTCAATTTCCTCTCCACTTGCCAGTTGTTTGACTTCTTCAGTTACAAGAAACGTTTGAAGACGATTCTTCAATGTTTCGTTGTCGTAAATGTTCCATAACTCTTTTAAAGCTGACGGTGTTTCTGCTAGCACTGTAAAGCAGAGAGAGCTTTCACTCAGCTCAACCAGCTTGGTAAAGGCAGGCAAAACAACCTTATTGAAGGCATCACAGTATTCTTCAAAACTGCAGCAACTACGCAGAGCCAGGCCACTACCAACCAATATTACACCACCAGCAAGCGTACGGAAATTACATACCATCCTAATCGCTGTGAAAACATATTGAGGAGGTATCCGATAAACAACTTAAGATACCGTTAAAACGCGCCAACTAAGAACCTTTTAAGTGAAAATTTGCCAGTTAAATCCCCTCTATACAAGCACCTTTTTTTTTCCTCTAAACTCTATGTGCATGCATATTTGTATGCAGATTTTATTCCAAGGAATAGGCTGAACAGGATACCACTAAATTCCATTAGTTACAATGTACCTCAGTTTGTGCTAATTAGCAGTTATGTAGGGATTCTGTGTTACGTTTTAATACCGTAAAATTCCGAAAATAAGCCCCTCCAAATATAATCTCCCCGAACTGGTAACGTAAAAAATCGCCCGTTAAATCGCCCCTCCAAATATAAGCCTCCCGGGGGCTTGTACTTGGAAAATTGCCCTCAAATACAAAGCAAAAACGGTAAATTTACTTTCAACTATAAGGCTACCCCAATCAATTTTGAAACGCAAATTTCCCTCCGTAGATAAGCCCCTCCAAAAATAAGCCCCTCAAAAAAAAGGGCCTTTGAAAAATATAAGCCCAGGGGCTTATTTTCGGAATTTTACGGTACCTTTGGAAAATGCAGTTTCTTATTTGTGGGATTTTACTGAGTTTTACCCTACCTTGACAAGCTCGTTAGAAGAGCTCACTGGGCTAATGTTCATACAGTGTTCACACGTTGTAGGTGACACGAGTTTAATAGAAATTGGGGATTTTTTGTGGGTGGGGTTGGCCAATAAAGAAAGGAGCCAATTCAGCTTGTCAAAAAATATACTCTTATGAGAAAAAGTAAATAAAGGTTAGTAAGTGAGTATATGTGCTGGACCATTACAAACACAGTGTCAGAAGATATCCATTCCTCATTTACGGAAGGTATTTGATTGTCAATATTAAGTTTGCCTAATTTTCTGTTATTAGTGTTCAATTTGATGAGTTAGATCTGTCAGAGTCAGTCATTCACTTTAACAGAAAATTTTCCATTTATATTGAACAACATGACATATCTCGAAAACATTTGAGGGAATCTTAAGAACCTCTCCAGGTCTGTTTTCTCTTACTGTTGACACATCATCTATGTAAGAAATGCATCAATCAGAAAGTGAAAAGTAGGGTACCTTTTATGTCTGAGTTTACTGTAGGTCTGCAACTGCCTAGGCGTTCACAATCATGCATTTCGGTGACGTATCTGAGACGAACGGATGCTACAGTTGGTGGGTCTGACTTACCTCCGATTAACCTTCCTGTAGCTCGCTTTAACGAAGAAATTATACCAGCTGACTTGGCTGAAATTATAGAAAAGTCTGTGTAAATATAGCCGCATGACCACGTAGGCATGAGCAGCTAGACCTTTTGATCGCTCCCCTGATATGATAATGTGTCCTTTCAATAATTCATGAAAGCAGTTGATGCAGCAAAAACGCATACATCATATCAACCTGGGAAACATTGAAAGTTGTGCATCGTCAAGTAAAAAAAAAAAACGCTGGCAGAAATTAACATATTACAAAGAACTCTGACTGGATTCATCACCATTACAATTTTTAGGGGCACACAACGAATGTTTTCTGTAAAATATCTGTTCGGGGAAGCAATATTGTCTAGAAACTTCTAGATAACTGTTCCATTCATGCACAATTTTCGAAGCTTATCTAATAAATTCCCTACGATTTTCTAAAGTTTAATTTTCACATTTTACTTCCCAAGTTAGGCCATTTTTCTGACAAAAAAGGAAACCTAACATTTCGGATTCAAAAATGTGATAGAGAGAGGAATCAGGGCAAATAACGATCAAGCCCTCATAATTTCGAAAAGACTCAAGTTCCCCTAGGATGACCGAACAGATACAAATTTTTTAGCGCCACTTGGAATGAATTTCTACAGTTCTATGAGTACTCTTGCCTAGTCCCTAGGCCTCATCATTATGAACCAAGAACGAGAAGTCCAAAGACTACTGCAAAGCTGATTTAAAACAACGTGTACTGTTTTTTATAACAATATTTCGGCTGGCCATACCAGCCTTCTTCAGGTTTACAGATGTTACTGAACTTATGTAGCAATCACAATAATATATAGATTTAGCCAGGGCTAAAAGCGAAGCTCCCGTTAATAAATTCATAATTTAAATCAAACAATAAACTTGTAATCCACAGATCAGGGCACATTCATTTGACGTTTGAGGCAAAGGCTAAGTGATTTTAGAGAAAAATAATTTGACAGTCCAAGAGTGAAACAACTTTTACATCGAGTTATTAAATAGTCTTATTTGTACACCCAAAAATAGCAATCATGTTCGATCACAGTAGATTAGGCCTGGAAAACAAATAGACCTACCTATTCGTGTATTGTATTTGCATTAGCTGTTGCATCGTAATGTGGCATTCACCACTCTCTCCAATATTGCTCCGTTTGAGAGACTATGGATAATTGGACAACCCCGAAATATAATTTTAAGAAACACTCCTCTGTCTAAAGGAGAGGCCAAAATAAAAAATCAGGCCGGATTTTTTGTGTTCGACAAGTTTAGTTTACTACTGTAGTAAATCTTGGCGACGAATCTGGTGGCGTGTAAACCAGCCTTTTAAACATACGTTTTCTCATCACGTCTCAGGTAAAAAGTACTATGAGGCCCTTGTTTTTATCATACAGACCTCGGACAGAATTTGTTCTTTTCTGCCCTATTTAAACCTATAATTCTGCAGTTTTTCACAATTTTGCAAGAGAATTTGCACTCATTCAATATCCACGACGATCAAAGAACGCGCTTCCTTTGCACAACAAATTATAGCATTGAATTATAAAACGTTTTCATGAAGAGAATTCTATAATGCCAGGACTTTCAGTAAGAAAAATCTGGTCCTATGTGATATACAGGGTAATATGGGCTTTTAATGAAAATGATAAAAAAATTCCCCAAATCACTTTTCGACCAGCCGGACAGGACTCACTTTTGACAGGCACCAAATTTGCAGTGCGATTAATAGAGTTACCATTTACGCTTCAACATGATAGATAAATTGTATGTTTAGGTTTTATTTCCCTTTATTTATTAAACTGCGTACGGTTTTGTTATGTGTAATCTTTAAAAGCGAGTGATATTTACGCGCGGCGTTTTGAGTATCCCTGCATGAGATGTTTATGTTCGACTGGATACAACCGGTGCAGCGATAAAAATTGCGACAGGGACTACTAACAATCAATAAAATAAATATAATTCGGTGAAACATGTACAGAGACAATAATTTTCATTCACGAAGAGAAGTATTGAGAGTAAAGTGTCTTTGAAAATCATGAGTCAGGTAAGCATAAGCTTATTTATGTTTTAAGCCGGCTTCCCAGTGTTTGCTCTTTTTCAAGATGAACTCGAGGCCAGAAAATCGCTCAGAGCTTTCTGTTTACAGCCAAAATCGTACAAGTAAATAATCTTCGGAACATTTTCTTTGAATTTGCGGTCAAAAAATGTCTAAAGGCTTTTTAAACCTGATACTATTGTAGGTTAGATCATTGCTCGTATATAAACTTAAGCCGCATAAACCATACGCTCGACTTCAGGAAACCGAAAAAAAAAAACACATCAAAGACAACAATTTCTCAGGCTTACCAGTCGAGATGCTGCTTCTGAAGGTCATCAAGTGTTGAAGAATTTTCAACCCTCTTACGCCTCAAGCAAGGGCAAGTGAGTAAGCTCATTTTTGAAAACGATGCCTTCCGAAATCGGATTTCCAATGACTTCAACAAGCGGTGCATTTGTCAACAAAAAGCGCAATAAACAAACAAGCCATGAATTACAGAACAATCTTGATAGCAGCTGTGTTTCATTTTGTACACCAAGTAGAAAAAGACAGTTTCAAACATCACAAGATGACACAAAACTCTGTCAGCTCCAGCTATCAGTAAGCAAGTTTCCAGGCGCTGCATAAATTTTCCGCATGAACTCACCAGTCAAATTTTGACCAATCAGAACATAAAAATTGGACGTAGAGCGTGATCAACGCGTGACAGTGAGAAAAGTCAAAAGTGATTGCCTTCCCCGCATGTAAATGTAAAAGCCGGTTGAATTTTCGCGTCCGAGGTCAGTTCGAAATCAACATTTTAAAAGTGCGGCTCATGAACTCGACTTATTTCATATATTTTGTTAAAAAAATTTGAACTTGAGCCTGCGATAATTGAAAAGTAGCAACCTGTCAGCGGATACGTTAAAAAAACACTCGAACTCAGTGGGTCGATACCTGAACCCGCGATAGGGTCAGGCGATACTGGTCAGCAGAAACATTATTTTGACAGCTGTCAATTAATCAAAATATCGATGTACAATATCAGGTTGCAGGCTCCCAAACTAGCTAGAAAGTGTGAGATTAAACATTGGTATACCTGTGGTGCTGACGGACGGAAGGTCGGGTGGTCGGTGTACGGTCACGTGATTACCGAATTTTCTAAGATGGATCGATTTTCTAATCTATGGGACTTCGAACTGAGCCCGTGATCAAATACAATATCAGCGCAAAACTTTAAACACTACGTGACCTCAATGGATAGACTAATGAGCCCGCGATACACTCAAGTGATGATGGTCAGCGTATACTCTAGTTTGACAGCTGTCAATTAACCTTCATTAGAATGGCGAATATTCGAATTAACAGACTACGAGTGTGAGTAAGACATATCCGTCCGGCATGTAGTGGAAAATGCCAGATCGCATACCTGAGCGAACCTGAGCCCACCTTATTAGTTTTCTACTCGTGGTCTGCACATGTCCCATTTTGACAGCTGTCAATTGACCTTAATTTGGCTTCCCAATATATCTTTAAACGACTGTCAGCCAACTGTCAGCCAACTGACAGCCTTGCCCGGCGTAGTTTGGTTTTTATGTTGAATTGGTAAGTGTGACATATTATATCCGCTTACATGTAGGGGCAAAACGACTGGTCTTTCATCTGAGCCCGCGAGATAGTCATGTGATAAATGTCAGCGGATGCCTAATTTTGACAGCTGTCAATCTAATCGTACTCATACGGATGGCTTACATAACTAAGAGGCTAGTCAAGTTGTGCAAGATCCTTTGTGACATTTGTCATCCGCTTACATGAAGCGTGTGTACGGGTGGGCGTACACTACGTCATAACCAAATTTTCTCAGATGGATAGTTTACCAAATTTTCTTACCCATGGTGCTCCGCTCCGCGCGCGCGAGGAGCTCCGCTATTATATAGGTGGAGAATGTCGCAATAAAAGGGAGAGGCGGAAATGACGTACAACATAAAAACAAATAAAAACTGGAAAGGAAAAATACTAAGGATATGGATTACGTACAATAATTCGTCACGGCGGTTTAGGCCATGAGGTTCAAGAGTCATGGCCTTATCTATCAAATGTGACTCCCTGGCCTTACGAACTGAGTCACGTGAAGAATGAATTTTCTCTAGTGGGATTAACTGCAAGTCAGTATGAGAATGGTTAGAGTGAGAGAGAAAGTGTTCACAAACAGTAGTGGGTTTAGATTTAATGTTAGTTTTGTCGACTGCACGTCTGTGTTCGTTAAATCTGTCCTTGAGACGTCGCTTAGTTTCACCTATATATTGTAAATTGCAGCGGTTACATTGAACCATGTAGATCACATTTTTAGTGTTACAAGTAATGTGTGAAGTGATGAAGCGTGTTTCACCTGTAGCGTAAAAGGTATAACTTGTGAGGCCGTTAGTAATGTATGGACAAGTGGCACAATTCTGTCCACAACGGAAGCAGCCTGGCGGAAAATGATTGGTGGAGATAACGGGTAGTTATGCTTTAACTAAAAGGTCACGAAGATTAGAGCTACGTCTGTAAGCAACAAAAGGCGGTTGCTTAAAGACGTCTTTGCAACGGTTAGAGGAGTGTAAGATGTTAAAATGTTTGCGTAGGATATTAGAAATGCGGCATTTTGACTACTCCTGTAAGCTGCACAACATTTTTTCCACACGCCATCAGAACTAAAGGTGATAGCATGTGTCACGTGTACCCCGTGGAAGATTGCGTGAAGGGGCCCCAGGTAAGTTTATTCAAATTACCATACACGTAACATGATACCAAGTTAATACACGTCTCTTTCAGGAACCAACTTTAGGCCGCAACCTTTTTTACAAATCAGCGTAATATAATGTTGAAATTTCAGTTATTTGCTAGTTTTTAAGTCATGTCATGAAGGTGAGCTGGAAAGCCTTTCATCAAGAGAAAAAGAAATGGACACTGAAAGGTAACTTTGTAAAAATCCACGACATGCGGTAGAAATGTCATTTGTAATCGTGATTCCGACTTGCTGTACATGTTTATGTTCATTTTTAAATCTATCATCTGGCATAGTTTGTCGATAGTTTATTGGGGCATTTCGAAAAGAGTTCTTGAAACCTTTTGGACTTGACCAGCCGGAAGCATTTTTACTTCCGAGTGCAGAATTAAATGGTCAACCGACGCGATACTCAGTTGCTCGTTTTTCAGGATTTTTTTTTCTTTTTATATTTTTCGCCTGACAATTTCGCCTGTTTAGCTTTTCAGAGAGCAATACCTATTAAGATACCGAAATTTCCATCATTTCTTCGCACTTTGTAGGGCTAGAAATAACTTTGGTGTGATTTTCTCCTTTGTTTACACGCTTTTCGCTTTGTTTACATTTCACGTTCTTGTCGCTTACGGTGGTCCGAGGGGCTATATTCAAATTTTTTTTTTCGCAAGGGTTTAAATTCACAGAGCTGAAGAATCACAGCTCTTTCATATAGTATAATCATATTTTAAATTTGAGACATACCAGAATCGACTTTTTGCGGTTAAAGTTGGGCGTTATTTCGACCGCCAAAACAGCACACAATCAAGGTGCAAACAATGAAAGCAAAAAACTATATTACAAAAGTTATTTTGCGAGACATTTTTATGCAGTCTTAAAGCTTTGCGTAACTGGTAAATGCATGTGGTCAATAGCAACTTTTGCGCGCTTGTACTGCTTCCTTGAAAATTGTTGAAATTTGCAGCAATTTCGCGAATAAAAAATGTATTTTTATCGAATTTTTGAACTTTACCAAATTTCTCAAAATGTGAAGCGCTTGAGGATTTATTAATATCATTTCTTGAAATAGTTCATCTAAAGGGTTGTTTGAGTGGTATTAGGCAAAATGCTAATTTTTAGAACTGATTTGAGATTCTCGATATTTTCCGACTCTTAATATTCAAGCTTGGCTGCTCGGACACAGCGTTTCTGGTCAGAAGGTAAACGCGGGCCAATTGAGATAACTCGTTTGATAGCAAGTGTTTCAATTATACATCAAGTCATCTGCCTATGGCAAAAGCGAACACTAACCCAAATTCTAAAAATTTAAACTGCTTTTAATACTAGTGTGAGCATGATAAACTTGAGCTCACTTCCGTCTTCATGTGAACGTTTTAACACTACGTACCTTTTCTCTTCACTTCAAACTCCTTCACTTTTTTAAGCAACGATGTTTTCTTCAAAATGGTTAATATTTCTTTCAGCATCTCAAGGTTGTCAATCCCAAGACGACTCTGCTCTTCAAGAACTTTGAATAATTTGAGGACATTTTGAATACTGTCCTCGGCGCCCTTTGGTATGTACTCTCTGCACATGAATAACAATATTGCCAGTTGGTTCGAATTTAATTTCCCGCTAATTTCGTAAAGCAGATAATTATACTCAAGTTGAGACATTTCCAAAAGGAAAGAAGTCCTTTAGAGAGGAACAGGCAAAACGCAACCTCCTCTTAATCTGTGTCCCAACTATGAAAGGAACATGGCGGCCAAAATAACATCGCGTGACAGCATTAATGATTTGTTTATATGCTAATTAAGCGGTTCGTGAATGCGAAGAGTAACTCCGAGAATACGAGTCGCGACGATCGTCATTAATGAAGAGACGATCTTAGAGATTAAAGCGACAATTGTATTATTCCTGCTTTCAGAGTTTTTGTTTTCCTTTGTTAAACCTCTTAATTCATTGATTTGCTTTCGTTTCCGTCGTCGTCACGATTGCTCAAGCTTGGTAGTAGCGACTGACCACGCAAAAAATTCTTGATATGCGACGATTTCGTAAATAACCCCCGACGATCTCAAGAAAAACGCGCGACGAAAATGACGGTCGCAGGTACCCGTACCCACAGAGAGGCTCGTCTTTGAAACACGCAAATGCATCCTTCAGACGGTCAAAATACGATATTTCCCATTTGCACATCTTCCATAATACACCTGATTTGCCCAGCTAAAAATTTTGCATAACCTTTGCTTTTGATTTCTCCAGGGTATTACAGTGGTCCCTAGGGAAATGAAAGACAACGCCAACCTCGTCCCCAGGGTCTTCTCGCTTTCCAATATGGCGGCGGCAGGAGAGAAGACCCTGGCACACAGCGAACTAAAACGATCGCTGATTGGTGCATTCTGTTGCGCGTTCATACGAGCGCTCTCATTGGTTTATTCACTCCAAAACAAAGATGGTTATCCTTTGAGGGATTCGTAGAGGCTGAGAAGTGCTTTTTTCAGTGTTTGAGACCGAAATTGTGGACAGAATTCAGGTCTGATTGTTCGGAAAACTGTGACTGTACCGTTGGAAGGCAAAGATTCGAAGATAGTGATATCTGAAATGGTAATCGCTGGGAATATTATAAGGCGTAGAGGTATTGCTCGTGCTATTTGCTTTGTGTGTTCGATTCTAAATTACTAAAGAATTGTTTCTTTGATTCCCGATATGTGAAAGAATACTTGCAAGGCTTCAGCTTATCAATAAAATTAGCTGTCCGTTTGCAAAGGTTTAGTATTGTTCTGCCTTTTGTTTTCTTTGAACAATAGCTGTACGCATAATATTATTAATGTATGGGGTTATACGGAAATCTTGCATAATCTGTGCTTTGTCTCAGCAGTTTTTTGTCGAGTGAAACATTTTTTTTCATTTGATCGTAACATGCATGGGCCTAACCTGGCCTTCTTTTAATGTTTTCCACGGTGATTTTGAAGGGGGATGAGGAGTGAGAGATGCAGATGTCGAAACAAAACTAAAAATTGAAGCCAAACATAGTGTCGATATTCTTTGATATTTTTAATCCTGACTTTTCATTTATTCAGTTTTCAGTGTCACAATGATGATAATTTATTATTATTTGCTCATTTCATTGGCAGTAAAATACAGCTAAATACAGAGACATTGGGAAAATAAACTGTCTCCTTTTCTCAGAAATGAAAAACTTTCATATTAATGTTTGAAGCTTGTGGGATTTCTTTCCAGTTGCAAAAATAAAATAATGAAAGCACATGATGTCTTTTCATTTTATCAAGTTGAAAACAGTGATCAGCCCATGCAAGGAAATCTGACAGTCTTGGATTCTCAATTCTACACCATGGATACTGCATTCTGGATTCTTTGTCAGTGGAACTTGGATTCCGGATTCCAATAAAAGTGGGATCCAGAGTACTTGACCTTTATTCCAGATTCCAAGAGAAAAATTTCCCAGATTCCGGATTCCCTTACATAGGGTGACAGTGATCCTAAGAAAAATACGTTTTCTGTCAAACCAGAACCTGTTAATTGAGCTTCTAATTACTGTAGGCTAAGTGTACATGTTGTTCTTGTCACTATGTGCTTGAAAAGGGGGTTTGTGGACCAGGTGAAATAGTGGCTGGCATTATAGTATTCCAAAACCAGCTGGGTATGATTATGAAGCAGCTATAATTCAGTTCTAAAACTTGGATTTAAAAAAATAAACTGCTTCAAAGGGTGCATATATCACTATCCACTGAATATACAAGAGCGGAAGGGGCCTGCAGCATCTTGATCATGGGATTTTTCATGTAGGGATGTAAGGCTTTTGAAGTGTTGTGCAGATAGGACAATCAAATTTTTGAACAACTGGAGTCTAGCCTTTAGTCAATTTGCTCATTGCAATGGCAAAGTGCAGCCCCAAGTAATATGTAAAATAAACCAAAGTCATGAGGGATTAAGAAAGTTTTTGCTCTAAAAATCAAATCTACTTCAACGTGGAAAATACATTTTGGATTGCTATATTACAAACAATGGAAACACTCTTCACCTTTTGCTAGTTATTGAAGCAGGGTTAATGCTTTTTTTTTACATCTGAGAGGCAAAAAAACCAATAATAACAGCTTCTTAAATCCTCTATTAAGGCTCCCTCTCTCAAATAAGCCCTCCTTTTCAGTGGATGAAAGTTTTAACAATAATTCCCCCTCTCTTTTAACCCCCATTCAACCTCCTCCCCCCCTTTTCTTATCCTTCACTAGTAAATAAAAGACTATCAATCAATGACAACTGTAAAACTTTGTAAGGAACGATCCAGGATGGTTTATTCACCAGCTGGAAGTTCGGATTTGTTTTTGATCCTCAGCTGCTTGACCTCCAACCTTCTTGTACTTGGGCTTTTTCACTTGGCATTTTTTTTTTTGTGGGGAACTAATGACAGCGTCTTTGCTAGATTAAATAAATATTGCCCGGAAGCATTGTGAACAGGGTTAGATATCAAAAGCCAATAAGAAAGTCTAGAAACTGTAAAGAAGATGAA